ACTCAAAATTTTAAGCTTTTTCCACCAGCACCACCTACTGTTGAGGTTGTGTTTCGAAACTATTTTACACGTTTTTATTTTACACTGGCGACTCACTCCACTCGCGCGCGTCCCTACTTACATTTTAACATTTAGTACGGATTTCCCAGAGATGAGATATATTCCGCAGTAAGTAAAGTATCTTATACGTTGAACCGGATAATCAACTATCATCATATCAAATTTCGTTAAAATCTGTCCAATGATTTTCTCATCATATGTTCCCAGACATACAGACCGACCGACAAAATTCTAAAAACATAGTTTCGGCCTCTGTATCGATAATAATAATTATTTTAATAAGATTTTCCAAAAAAAAATAATGTACAGATTCGACTCAGATATAATTTTATTATATGTACAGATTAAATATTTTTTCGATTTGATTTGATCGAAACTATATGTTCAAAGACCCTATCACAAGAATTTGAATGAATCAATGAAATGAAATGAATTTTTGAGTATTAACTAAGTACCTACTACTTTTATGGCCAACACGGTAAGAATATATATTTTAGTGCTTTAATATCATATTTTAACGTCGTTTATGTACATTTTAGATGCTGGCATATAAAATATAATAAACGATCCACTCGAGTAACTCACGTGGTACACTTAATGTACATATGCTCTCATTAAAATTCTTTATGAGATAGACGTGTAGCTTTGGAAAACCATTGATTTTGAGACAGATATTAATTACATACAGTATGTATTGGTACTGTTGTAATGATAGGGTATAGGATAGAAATTACAATATATTATATACTGACCATGTTGTTATATAGGCACATGTGTGGTTTTCGATTAATGTTTAATTTTGTTACTTGTAGTTGTTTATAATATTTTAGTGACTTGTTCATGTAATAACGCTATACTTAGACTATGTTTTAAATGTGTTCTTGAATTAACTTAAATATAGGTACAAGCAGATATTTGACGACACGTTTGGATCAGTTTGTAGCTACTCTACTTGCTGCGCCAGGGGTCGCGGGTTCGAGTCCCGCTGAGGGTATTCATTTGTGTGATGATCACGAATGTTTGTACTCCAGTCATGGGTGTTTATAATATGTATTATGTATGTTTTTAAAGCTATATATGTATGTGTAGTGTATCAACTATCTGGTATCCATAACACTAGCCTCGTAGCTTGCCATTTAACTAGATGGTGCTGTGTGTTAATGTCCAAACGTATTTAGATACTTTTATAAGAAAGTTAACCTTTGAATTACTTTCTTTTAAAGTTGTTGACAAACATGTTTGAAAACTTGTACGCTTTTAAAGCTTTAGTACATTTAAATGAAACCTTAATCCAAATTTAGACCAAGGGAAGTTTTAATTCTTTATTTGAACTATTTTAAAAGTGTAATCCAAATACCTTTTTTTTAAAGAAAACCTTTACATTTATAAGGTGGTAATGTTTCGACAGGCCAGCGGTTTGTCTCGCATGACGTTACCATGATAAAAATGACTCTATTTTATAAAAGAATGTGTAAGTTATATTACTACAAACCTAATTATTTATATTGCCAATACTTTTTATTGCCAATAAACTCTGCTCCTTTTAAAGTGTCTTAAGTGTCAGCAGAAGAGGGTTCAGAAATATATTGAACTCTTTTGTTCGTAAAATGACATGCTGTATAAATCAGATCTCGTAACGCGATGCTTCACGACATCGGTTGGGGGCCATTCAGCGAGAAATCAGCAGCTTTATGCGGCGTAATAAAGAGTGTGCTACGAGTATATTTCAACATGCGGGGTACGGGGTCGTATACAAAATGTTAAACGTAAATTGTTACATCTGATATATTATATTGTAGGCATGGATTTATCTAATTTTACTAAGTAATAATTAAAAACATTTTAAGAGGTCGTCTGTTCGGAGAATGGTTTTCTGTTTCTAAATTTTTAAGAACTTTCATGAAACTAAAAATAATATATAGTAAAATCATACATTCAAAATAGAATTAGTTTGCTCGATAGAAAAATCTCCATTTTTATCATTTTTATTTGATTTTAAATTTAATAGGGTATTAAATGGTAATTTTTTATGACATATGTATTTGATATTACTTAGGTAGGTTGATATTACTAAATCACTAATTTCTAAAGTTTTGGAAACAACGAAATGTAATTTTGTATCGTTTAAACAAGAAAAAAATATTGTAATTTCAAACAAAAAAACTTTGTAATTTTACATGAACTCGCCCAAATGAGACCCGTCGAAGATCTCATTCACGTAGGATGTGTCCCGTATTTTACGCCTACTCTGCTCTTGGAATACAGAAATATTTAATAAATATAATGAAAAATATGAAGTCTTACAATGCATAAATCATATGAAAACAGATATGAAGATCCGTATTTTGATAAAACGTAATAATAAAAATAATAAGTAAATCAAAGAAAGTAAAATTTATCAAGTAGCGTAGCTCGTCTAGAGAAGTTGTCTCGAGAGCTCATTTCTCCGCCTGAAAAATTTCGTAGGACCTATAATGCCTCAACTGTAGATACTTTAGATACTTTTTATAGCTAAAAGCTTGCAGCTTGCATGTCAATTATATCAGGTAGAAAACTATAGCAAATTTTGGAAGTTATACTTCTTTTGGCACGTTTGAAAAAATTATGAGACTAAAATTTTTTCCAAGCGTTAGCTGAAAGCAACATGATGAAGTTAGCTGCATTTCTTTTACAAACAGAGAGTTGTGACATACCTACGTGATGAAATCTTTAGCTATGTTTGTTCTGTTACGCCAAATAAGTATAACTTCTTACGTGCGTACATTACAGTGCGTGCGTACACACACGTTTTTTTTTTATACGTGTTTATGTTACGTAAAAACTTTATTTGTTCCAGAAAATTCTTCGTAATAGGCCGTATTTTTTCCACTTGATCATATATACATGCGCAACAACAAGCTATGTCTATGCTATTTCTAATTTTAAATGATCACGACGATACTCGTAATGAATAATAAATGGCCAATTAATGACGCAGTGTGGTGCGATAGGCCGCTAAATGCCTATACGCGATAAATAATGCATTACAAGACAAGTTGGACGTTTTAAAATATTATTCTTGTTACATATCTTTAGGTATACGTTATTTTTATAACTTACATGAGAAAACACATTAAATAACTTACTAGCATTGCCCGCGGCTGCGCCCGCGTTCAGATGACCAAAGACCAAATTCTTAGGTTTTACATATTAGTATACTCTTACATTGCAGTTTTAGTATTTTTTCTCAGAAATGAGATGTTTTCCCGCGACAAAAAGTATCCTATATGTTGACCCGGATAACCAGCTATCACCATACCAAATTTCATCAAAATTCCTCTAGTGGTTTTTCCGTGATGCGGTAACAGACAGACAGACAGACAGACAGACAAAAATACTAAAAACTATAGATTCGACCTCTGTGTCGATAATAATGTCTATTTGAATAAGATTTTCTAAAAAATATTTAATGTACAGATTCGGCTTAGTTACAATTTTATTATATGTATAGATTTTAATATCATGATTCATGAACTTTTCGTTCGTTATGACAGCAAAACCTTATCTATATCTATACATAATAAAATTCTGAGTTGTACATTAAATATTTTTTGGAAAATCTTATTTAAATAGTCATTATTATCGATACAGACTACAGAAGCCGAATCTACAGTTTTTAGAATTTTTATCTGTCTGTCTGTCTGGGAAAGCATCACGAGAAAACCACTGGACAGATGTTGTTGAAATTTGGTATACCTACTGATAGCTGGTTATCCGGGTTAACAATTAGGGTACTTTTTACTACGAAAAAAAATCTCATCTCTGAGAAACCTATAGGTCCTAAAACGTAACTAGGTACGAACCCGAGCGGAGCGAGAGTGAATCGCTAGTATTATATAATATTATAAATTTTCTTTAGCCTCTAAGTCGCTGAAATGATCTCGAATAAAAGTTCCTAATCCTAAGCCTAGACGTTCGAACACCATAAACGATTTGTTTAGTTCATTTTAGGATGTGATATCGTGCGCATAGCGTTAGGTATTACCTATATACCTACTATTTTGAAACTATAGACAGACACTTTCATTTAATTTAGACGTGATAAATCTAGAATCTAGATTTTATTTACGAAGTAATTTGTAACGTTTCTTTATTTTTTTTATCAATTTCAATTAAGAAGAGGTAATTTTCATAATTGTTTAGCTAGTTAGGTCTTTAACTAAATTAATATTAGATAAGTATGCTGGTAATAAGCTTGTTTTGTTATACATACACTAGATTATTTACAACTTGATAATTCAGTCAACTTTTATACTGTTACTACATACGCTTTAGTCGTTTTTTTTGGTATCGAAATGATTGAAAGCCTTTGTGGGCAAAAGGCTCTGATGCAAATCCCCTATTGATAGAATTGGTATGGTTTAAATGAAACTCGTGCAGATTGCTTTGATGTTACGCCAATATTTTTACAGCCCTGTACCTACATATATCGTATAAATGTTAATTTTACAGATTAAAAATATACATTTTTATTCGAACATATTATGGCGTATATATCTTTGTCTTTAAAATATTTAACAGCTCCAATCCTCTAAAAATCGTTCAATATTTACTAAATCTACGTAAAGTAAGGGTGTTTTGAATAAATCACATTGCACTCTAGAGTGTTATCTACGGTTTTAAACTTTTAGTTAAGGATCACTACAGTGCTATTCGTCTATTTATTTTCGACCAGCAACCTAGAGCATTATAATATTTTAAAGTTCATCTACTGTAGTTTTTTTAAAGGTTATATTACAATTTAATGATTTTGACATGCAATCAAGACCTAAACTCGTCATAGGAAATGTTATGCACATTGCTAAAGGAAATCAAATGGTTACGACTTAATGTCCGCATCACGAGACACATTATAACGTTTATAAATAGATTCAACACAAAGTGCGCAGAGATTCAATTGAATGATTGGTCCCTGGAGGAAACAGGGTCGCCCGACTGATTCGCCATCGCATTCACATATCATACTCGTACGTATGGAAATGGAGAGCTATTGTTTGCAAATTGTGCACAAATCTTAGATAAATATACGCTTATACCTCGCAACTATCGAAAACGCACTGTAATGAAATTATTAACTAATATATATTTTTTTACTCTAATAGGTATACAAATCTGTACATATAATAAAATTGTAACTAAGCCAAATCTGTACAATAATTATTTTTTTGGAAAATCTTATTGAAATAGACATTATTATCGAGACAGAAACTGAATCTATAGTTTTTAGAATTTTTGTCTGCCTGTCTGTCTGTTTGTGACCGCATCACGGAAAAACTACTGAAGAGATTTTGATAAAATTTGATATGATGATAGCTGGGTCCGGGTCAATATATAGGATACTGTTTACTGCGGGAAAATATCCAATCTCTAAAAAGTCCATACTAAACGTTAAAATGTAACTAGGGACGAAACCAAGCGGAGCGAGGGTGAGTTGCTAGTATTTTATGATTTACAAATATCTAAACTAGCGAGCCTTAATTTGTTGTTTTTTAAAAGTTCAAGCTATGTACAATGTACTTACATCGCTATGTGATGTAATAATTATACTTCATCTTAATAGTAGTATTCATCATAATATGCTTTTCAAATAGATAGCAAATGCTCTCGTCCCTTGAACAAATACTTCAGCGTCTAACGCACTTTTTAATTACGAGCGTAATAAGGGAAATTACAGAGCGACGTAGAGCGTTAGTCTACTCACTGCAACATGAGGCTGTCGCATATTTTGATATTATGGGTATAACTTTATAAGGTATTAAAACTCAGTGACAAATAGATGACGGTTTTGAATAAGCTTTTGTAATATATTATTATATTACACCATATCTATACATATACCTAATAAAATTGTAACTAAGCCGAATCTGTACATTAAATATTTTTTGGAAAATCTTATTGAATCATGATTATCGATATAGAGGCCGAATCTATAGTTTTTAGAATGTTTGTCTGTCTACCTGTTACCGCATCACACAAAAACCACTGCAGGGATTTTGATGAAGTTTTGGTAGGTATGGTGATAGCTGGTTATCCGGGTCAATATATAGGATACTTTTTACCGCGGGAAAATGTCTCATTTAAGAGAAAATATACAAAAATTGCATTGTAAGAGTATATATACTAATATGTAAAACCTAAGAATTTGGTTTTTGGTCATCTGAACGCGGGCGGAGCCGCGGGCAGTGCTAAAAAAATCCAAAAAGATAGCTTTATTGAAAAGAGGGTAATGTTATTAGAGTTTACATATTATGTATGTATGTCTATTTCTTGATCACTATATCTATTAATATAAGAAGTAATTTTTTTCTTAATTTGGTGGAGTATATACATATGTATGTGTATTATATTTAAACATGACCAGCTTTGTCCTTTCTATATCTATTGTTTCTTTGTTGGCCGATGTGTGTTTGAAAGCCATCATTTATTCTCGCTGAAACCATACTCAAAGATAAAATAATTAATAATATAAATAAGAAACGTTTTTATTGCTTTTAAGTTTGTAATTAACATAAATATTTTCCAGGTCGAACAGCGAGATGTTCCAGGCATCGACTGCGCCCATCTGGCAATGGACACAGAGGAAGGTGTCGAGGTTGTATGGAACGAAGTGCAATTTTCCGAACGCAAGAACTTCAAAGCGCAAGAAGACAAGATACAGATGGTCTTCGACAACCTCACACGTCTCGAACACCCCAACATCGTGAAATTCCATCGATATTGGACGGATACACATAACGATAAGCCTAGGGTATGTTTTATTACTTTAGAAATATTATAAATGTGTTTAAGATTAACCTTCTAAATGGCTTTGCATTATACGTACATACATAATATGTATATGAAGAAGAAATGAGTAAGTAATTTAATGTGGCTATATATTTTCCAGGTCATATTTATAACAGAATATATGTCATGTGGGTCATTAAAACAGTTCCTAAAACGAACCAAACGAAATGTAAAACGGTTGCCGTTACAGGCGTGGAAACGATGGTGTACACAAATTCTTTCCGCACTCAGGTATATAATGGATTTTATCTATACTAATTCGATCATTGTAAAATTGTGTAGTTTTAGGACGAAATAAATTTAAAAAATAAATATGTTAAATCTTACTTTAAACAATTATTTTTTTTATATTTTCTTTTGATATACTATCTGTTTAAGCTAAACCATCTAGATTTATTGTAACTGCAATTAAGTAATAAAATTTTATAGCAAAAAATCTAACAATTTAACCATTTGTCAGCTATCTCCACGGTTGCGTGCCGCCGATAGTCCACGGTAATTTAACCTGTGATACGATCTTCATACAACACAACGGTTTAGTGAAGATCGGCTCGGTAGCACCAGATGCTATACATCATCACGTCAAGACCTGTCGCGAGAACATGAGGAATATGCATCTCATTGCACCAGAATACGGATGTGAGTTCCTTTCAACTTCTTCAATCTTTCGTTAAATTGCCTTTTGCTTTATACTCACTCAATTTACAGAAACTTGAAGGCAACTCCTAAAGTTTCTCGAGTTTTCTTTTTTGTTTCCTAATTTTACCAAGTTCTTCAATTTAAGTTAGTTTATCCTTTAATTTAGAATTTTTGCGCTAAACTTGCAAATAAAGTGCTAAGCAACCAGCATCTAGAGTTTCTTGATTCTAGAACACTTAGTTTGCATTATTACGTGTCTGAAATTGGATGTAGAGTCTGTGATTTTAAATGTAGTTGGCTAATCTTCGAAACTAAAGGTTCGATTCTGAATTTTTTTTGTGGAATACAATGTCATTATTGCTTTGATAAATATATCCTATCAGTTAAAAAATAATATCAGTATCTGTTTTTGAAATCTTCATGGTTTTGTGGCGATTGTAAGTCTAAAACATTGAATACATGTCTAAATAATGACTTTATTGTTGAATCGTGCGGATGTTTATTACAGTTAAATAAAATACAACTTTAAAACCACACTTAAAAGAAAACTGCTTTAAAACTTTCTTTTAAAAATATAAAATGCGACAAATTTCGTCATCATAAAACATAATTTCAATTGTAATAGTAAACATATAAAAACTTTTTAACAAAAAAATAAAAACCGACTTCAAACAAAAGCACTAAAAAGTAAAAAATAATATCAGTATCTGTTTTTGAAATCTTTATGGTTTTGTGGCGATTGTAAGTCTAAAACATTGAATATAAGTCTAAATAGCCAAAGCACGCTCGCTTGGAAAATATTTGAAGAGGGTATAGAAATGAAACTGCACCTCTGATTTTTACTTTCATGTGCGAATCATTTCTAACATGATTACCGCTTGCCTTACGGTGAAGAAACATCGTGAGGAAACCTGCATGTCAAATCAAACCTAGCAAGTTTTCGAAAGACATGTGAAGTCCGCCAACCCGTACTTGGCCTTGCTATCAGATCAGGCCCCCCCACGTATTGAAGGGAGGCCCGTGCCCAGCAGTGGGACATTAAAAGGGCTGAATACAATTGACTTTATTATTGAATCGTGCGGATGTTTTTTACAGTTAAAATAAATACAAACTTTAAAACAAAAAAGAAAACTGCTTTAAAACTTTCTTTTAAAAATATAAAAAAAAAAACATTTCGTCAATTAAAAAATTCCTTTTTGTAATAGTAAACTTAAAATAGGTATTATTATATCACGAAGGATGTAGTGAATGTAACAGAATAGCAGATGAGTGGATATAGCTTAGACCATTTGTTCAGACGATTCGGAGCTCCAATTTCTTTTATCTTTTGCATGACACAGAAAAGCCTTATTTTAAAATTGTCTTATGAAATATGTATTCAACCTTCGCAAGTTATTATATCTGTAAGATATATGTATGTAGGTATATATTTTAAGAATAATATTTATACAAATGGGCTTTATATTGTTTTAATTAAATTTTGAGTAAGTTGTAATGAACCTACTTGATAATAACGTTCCTTTTTAATATCGTCTATATACAGGTAACATATATAGATGGTAACGAGATCGCATAGGAACCCGAGTAAAGCGGGTTCAAATCCCGTGTGCGAATCGTTTCCAACATGATTACCACTTGATTTACGATGAAGGAAAACATCATGATCAAACCTGCATGTCTGAGAAAACCTAGCAAGTTTTCGAAATACATATAAAGTCCGCCAACCCGCACTTGTCCAGCGTAGTGTACTATAGTCTGTCCCACTTGTAGTAAAGAGAGGCCCGTTCCCGGTAGCGGGACGATAAAAAAGGGCTGAATACGATAGAATTATCTATATACCTCAAGGTATTCGTTTTTTACTTCTAAAAAAGTATGATGATAAAGATAATGAAATATTGGAGAAGTAGCCACTTTAGTTTTTACTTATCACTTATTTCTTGTATGATGGTTTATTATGCCATGCGGTTTTTATAAGCAAGCGTAGGACGTAATTGTTCTATAAGCGTATAAGTAGAAGCAAACAAGCTTTCAACCTCCATTTCCCTCGAACTTGCTGCCTTGAATAGAGTAAATAATAGATGATTTGTCAGGCAAATATCTGAACGCCAACATTTGCCTAGCTGGCAGCTGCCAAACAAATGAATACTGCTCGTCACGTTCTGCTTTAGGTCTACCTGACTAGGAGTTGGTCGAGTGACATTCTATATTCGCCGTCACAAAACTATAAAAATTGTGCTATGCCTCGTACACCGAGAGTTCTGTAGCTTGACACATCCTGTTTTATTATACGTAATCTATTTACCTTTTTACCTTTAAAGATAAATAAAAATAAGACATGAAACTCTACGCTGGGCTCGAATAAAAGGTCACTTAAAAATATCCATCACAATTTTTAATACCTCTCCAGGGATACATGCTTTCGTAAACTTAAACTTTTCATCAGTTACATATATATACATACATATGTACCTAGTTAAATATCTACACGGACAGACAGACATAACGAAATTTACGGTTTCGGCTTATGTGTTTTGGCTACGGATCTCCAAAAATAACTTAACATGACCACGCGACTTCATACTAAGATATTTTATTAAAGTAATTCCTTTATCTACATTTTTAAGTTATATGTATATCGTAAGATTTGTATACTGCCGTCATAAAAAAGGAGTCCGCAACTTAGTTGAAGTTGATTTCGAGATATTTGAAGTTTTGTCTTACAACGTCTACGTCAAAATTACTACTAGTTTTGACGTAGTTACGATGAAAATGGTTATGGTATCTCCGGATTCATAAGACTTAGAGCTTTATGAGTGAGAATATTATATAGCATTTTTTGCTGATTCCGAATCTGCATTTATGTCATTTTTGACCAAATTGTTAGTTACAGCCTTTTTTATTACGACGGCAGTATAGTACGTTAGAATGTCCGATTTGGTCCGATCACCCAGATCTAAGCAACTGATGCAGATTTTTGCCCACTAGCATCCCAAATGGTGACGCCCGCGATGGACATCTACTCCTTTGGCATGTGCGCGCTCGAGACCGCGGCGCTGGAGATACAGGGAAACGGTGACTCGGGCAGTCACGTGACAGAGGACCACGTCGTACGCACAGTTGAGTCTTTGGAAGAGTCCAGGCAGAAGGATTTTATATACAGGTAGGAAAATCTTTAAGACAGTAGTTAGTTGGGAGTTCTTTCCAGTACAGTAACTACATAATTATTTTATTACAAGTTAAAATCATAACACCAGTTCGTAATGACACGAAGAATTGTTGCATCAATCAAGCAAATTAGTCTAATATATGTTCGCTATATAATATTATATGTATGTGGCAATATGTTTCAGATGTATAAACAAGGACCCGTCCAAAAGGCCGACGGCCCGAGAGCTCCTCTTCCACCCCCTCCTGTTCGAAGTGCACTCCCTCAAGCTGCTGGCGGCGCACACGCTCGTCAACACTAGCGGTAAGATTCTATTATGATGTTAAAATTACTCATACTTCACTATTAATGATTTAACTTTATTTTTAAATATTATTATGATGTAAAACGGAATATTTACCATGTGTAGCAGTCATTTTTGAGAGTTCCCGACATTTCGGCACTGTTACAAGCGCCATAGTTACGGGTATACTGATGACTTTGCGGGTAGATATTAAACTTTTTATTGGCAGACATATCTGTCTACCCTCTTTCCAGTACGTTTTGTACTTTCGTCACCACTACCGCTATTACATAGGTAGCTTGTAACTCAATTCGAGTCTCGATACACAGAACTCACTATATCCACTAGCGAACTTTTCCTCACATTTTTACGGGATTACCATAGTTTTGTTATTAAACTTAATTGCAATCACTTTCCAGACCCATTTAATTGAAATAAATAGTTATGTTCTGTCGACGATAAACGTAGATAATATGTAATGTAGGTAAAAACAAAAGATTCATCAGAATTAAGAATCTCGTTTTTTGAATTTAGTTAAAGAGTATTACAACCCTCCACATATTGTGGAATTTCTATCTGACATTATTTTAGTCGAGTTTATAATTAGTACGAAGATATATTATGGAAGTTTACAAATTATGAGGAGTTTGTTGGGCTGCCTCTTCATACTTATACGAATTGCCGTATTTTCTATAGAAGTCTACAGTGTGCAAGAACTCTTACAGTTTGGTTTAATAAGTTTTCTTTACCATTTGTAACTTTTTCCATCTATTTTAAAAACAGATACTTTTTATGTAACATTTTTATTTTAAACAATGGACTCACCCCCGCTCCGCTCGGGTTCGTTTAGATTTATCAGAGATGAGATACATAATTTTCCGCAGTAAAAAGTACCCTATATGTTCACCCGGATAGCCAGCTATCATCATATCAAATTTCATCAAAATCTGTCCAATGGTTTTCTCGTTATGCGGTCACAGACAGACAGACAAAAATTCTAAAAACTATAAATTCGGCCTCTGTATCGATAACAATGATTTTCAATAAGATTATCCAAAAAATATTTAATATACAGACTCTGTTAGAATTTTATTTTATGTAAAAATCTACCTACTATAGATGTAGTTCTTACCATTTTTGAATTGAATAAAAAAAAATATTTCTATTTTAAGACTTTTAAGCACAAAGCGAAAATAAAGGAGCGTTTTATTTTTTAAACACGTAAACACTCAATTTAAAAGCGCCGTGTCTATTTATAGCTCGCGTCGCTTAGGTTAAGCGTTTCCACCGTGTAATTAAGAATTTAAGGAGGCATTGAAACGTAATTTTATATTTCTTCACGTATTTAATAAAACTCTGATTTTTCTCCTATTTCAATTAAAAATAATATATTATGTATATATAGGTCATGTAATTAAAACAGTTGGCTTAACTATGAAGTAGGTATAAGTTTGCACGTGTCAGCACTAATTAAATTTTGAAATCGTAAAAGTTTTGAATAAAATATTACGTTTTACTAACAAATTTTAGCCAAGCAATTATATTAACAATGTGTGTCTAATGTAGTAGACATAGTAACCGTAAAACGCTGGCGTAAGAAAGAATAAAATAATAATTTATTATTATGATGATTGGTTTTTATTTTACATAATAACTAGCAACTTAGTCCCTAGCTGCGTTTTCATTTTTTTAGCGGAACCGTAATTTTTCTTTATACAGGTTATAAAATTGATGTGTCTATTTGTAATGTCAAAGTAACAGATTTTTGTTAAATATATATGAAATTATATACGGTACTTATAAGAAAAATATAAATACTATTTAAAAAAAACTGTCTATTTGTTCTGGCTAATGTCCGAAACGGCTGGACTGATTTTGACGATTTTCATTAGCAGATAGGTAGCTTGTCCTATAAGGAGTAATTAAGTCTACTTTTTTTATTTTTGAAAAACAATTAGGGTTCCGCTTAAAAAAATGAATACGTACCTACGTAGGGACGAGGAGTGGCTAGTTAGTCTATATATGTATATGATGTGTATCGCGTGCGACAGCGAACATATCGGAGACGATCACGGACGAGGTGTGCGGCGGCGGCGCGGAGGGCGCGCTGGCGTGGGTGGCGCGCGCCGGCCGCCGCCACGAGCTGGCCGCGCGCGACCTGCCGCACGCTGAGAAGCTCGAGAAGTTCGTCGAGGACGTCAAGTGAGTGCCCCTACCCGCCAGCGGTAGTCATCACTCCATCATAAAAGTCTCCGCTGGGAAAACTTACATTCTTCTTTATATTCTCAATTGTCATGTAATCATTTCTTTAAAAAAAAAAACGATATTCCACTTCTTTGCCTTTGTCGGAGCGCACCTAATATCACTCATCGCACTTTGTTTACTTATTATACCATAGTGGAAAAATTAAACCCTACAGCGTTACAATTTATTTTAATAAAAAAAACCGCCAGCGGTGTGCCGTGTGCTATATTATATTTGCTGTATTATTTTATTACCAACATTTAGGAGATCTGACATTGTTAGCATAAAAGCAAATAGAAAAATAATTACTACAGTAAATATTCAATCTGTAATTGAAATTGAAAGACATCTGTAGTACAATATGTTTTTATAAATTTAACGCTTGTACATTATCCATTCATTCAATAAGACACAATTTGCAGGTAGCCATTTTTGAAATAGACGTGTGAATAGTCTATCCGTTAAATGCGTGTTTAATTTTATGGGATACATTATCATGATTTGTTTGGATTAAAAAGAAAATGTTAGCATTCTAATTATAATTTTTTTTTTTGAAAGTATAAATGGCAAATAACTCGTATGACACGTGTGTTAATGGCAAATAGGCCTTTGACATTGATTTGGACTCTGTTCGGTTGTTCATTTGATATGGAATTATTTTGGTGTGGAGTTATCTACTCATTAATCCTGTCCGAGTCGGCGTAAATATTACAAATAATACATAAACGCGCCGCAGGTACGGCATCTACCCGCTGACGGCGTACGGGTCGGCGCGGCGCGCGGCGTCGCCATGCGAGCGCGCGCGCGCCGCCTCCGAGAGCGCGCCCGCCTCGCCCGAGCCGCACGCGCGCGACCTCGAGACGCGCCGCGTCGTCAACATGATGTGCAGCCTCAAGCCGGCGCCCGCGCCCGCGCCCGCGCCCTCGCCGCCCGCGCCCGCGCCCGCGCCCGCGCCCGCCGCCGCCGCCGACCTGCTGATGACCATCCTGCTGCGCATGGACGACAAGATGAACCGGCAGCTGACGTGCGCCGTGTCGCGCCGCGACTCCGCGCCCGCGCTCGCCGCCGAGCTCGTGCAGCTCGGGTTCATACACGAGGTGCGACACCACACACACATACATAATATGTATATCACACCCACACCTACACACGTTAGAATTTTGAGTAGAGTGAAAATATTTTTTTTTTCTTAGCTTGCCGATGGTACGATTTGAAGGTTATAAAAAAACAAAATTTTTGAAATTAAATTTTTTTTAACTCAACATTTTGAGGTGGTCTACTGGTTTTTAAAATAATTAATTTAATTTTTTTATTTTAATGAAAAACTTTTTTCGTAAGATCATCTTGAAAAAATGATGAAAGTGGTTTTTTTACGACGCGACAGGTTTAGACTACGGTATGAAGTTAGTCATTATGGGCTTCAATGTAAAGTTAATCGTTAAATCTTCTTTTAGTACGAGTATAATGTGATTTTAGATATGTATATTTATATTCTGGTATTTCTATATTTTATACATAATACGTGTTTGATACACCAGTAAAAATTAAAATTATTATTATACTTCGTTATTCGTCGAGTTACTAAATCCTGAGCATTTATTGTAAATTATGGGTTCCATTTCATGACACAAAATAACACCTATAATTTCCATGCCTGAAAAGTATATTTATTACGCGTTTAGAGAAGATTGTATACCTAGTTTTTTAAAGTTTAACTGTTGTATTGTACACTGTAACTGGATTTGAAGTGCTTAAAATTTCAAATTTAAATTGACCTCAGTTATTTCATTACATAGTGAGGTTGATAAAATATAAATGTTATGTATAAAATATCGTACAAGTAATCTATGTTTATGTACATGGTTTTAACAATTTTATAAAAGGTGGCACGCCTTGAGAATGAAGTAATCGCTTTCAAGCTACTTCAATTTTATAGAAATATTGTACTTTATAATTTAACTGTTTATAAAAAGATAATATTAGTCCAGCTGAGTTCCTTCGCCAGTTCTTCTCAGATCTGAGGCTTCCTTCCGAACTGGTAGTAGACTCGTGACGTTCGGTAAAAAATTGTAATAATTTAACGCTCAATAAAATATTTTGAATTCAAATTTCATATATGTCTTTCTGTATGTGGCAGGGCGACCGCGACAAGCTGTGCCGCCTCATGGAGGACTCCCTGCGCGGCGGCTTCGGCGCGCGCGCGCACGCCGCCAGCTAGTGCCGCCCCGCGCCCCCGCGCCCCCCGCGCCCCCCGCGCCCCCCGCGCATCCGGCGCCGCCAGTGGAGCCGGCGGCCGGCTGCTGCCAGTAGAGCCGATTTATTTCATACCGCTAGCTCACTCAAATTATAACAAATCTAATTTTATTATACAGATCAACAAAACTGTCGAGGAATACTCTGTGACGAATAAAAAATTCCAAAAAAATACGTAAACGTTTTTGTATCCAATATACGATCTGGCGGCCCCGATTACGACTACTGACATTTTATGTTCCAAATTCTATATAAATTAAGCGCTCCATGGCCTTTAGGTTTATAGTCTCGAGCACTCGCTTCTGTCGATAGATTAGTGTTAATTGTAATATGTAATACATATGTATGTATGTAAAATGTTCTTATGAGAGAGATGTAGTGCGGAGAAGGTGTATTTTTGCATTGAACCGGCCGTCGTCATCGAGTCGACGGTCACTGAACGATTTTATGTAAATCCTAACGTCAATTCGCGATGGAACGGTTTAACATTACGTCACGAGTCACGAAACGTTATCGTCGGAGGTACACGAATTTGTGAAGGTTGATTGCAAATTTTGTCTCGACGACGAACGATCGTCGCGCGCCTTGTAAATAGCTCGGGAACTTAGCGGAGTTTATATATCAAATACTTAAATATTATCTCGTGAGAACGTCGTTCGTTAAAGCAATAGCAATGCTTGAAATGATCAAATTCGTGCGAGGATCGTCGTCGGAGAGAAGCATTTCGCCTCCGCGGGAACTATTTGCTAGTCCAAAATGAATCTAATCCCGAGCGAGCGCCCGCCGCCTGCTGTTCTAACATGTTTTTATATATTGTTCTCTTTATATTAATTATATTGTTTTTAACTATATATGTTAGTGTATACATTGAGATTTTAATCACTTGGTTATATTAATTTTAATTTCTCTCTAAAGTGTACATTGGAACTGTCAAATGACAGTTTTATTTTGATATTTTTAGTTGACTTTAAAAACTTTTTTTTTTAACTATATTTTTTGTCAATTCTGATAAATTAAATTATTGTTTTGTAGTGAAAAATATGCCTTGGTCCTGAAAATTTAAAATAATTGTAAAGTCGACGTACCTTTTTATGTTATATACGAGTTATTATCGCTGGTGCCGACGGCGGCGGCGGCGGGCGGCGGTCGTCGAGAACGCTTTAGATTTAGAATTTGTATGAATGTGTAAATGTAACAAATGATATTTAAAAATATTTAAATAAACGATAACGTTAATTATAATATATGTATAGTGAGGCTTCCTCTTAGAGCTTTATGGATATGGTTATGTAAGTATACGGGAAATTGAACATACTCACTAATGAAATAAGTTCAAATTCGCGTGCCCGGTACCGCCTCGCCGGTACGCCGCTGCTGTTCACGATATACCATAAAACAGCGGTTCCCAATTTTTTGCCCACGGAACCATAATTGATCATAATTTTTTCAACGGGTCTCCATTTTGATAATAACTAAACTGATTGCGCTGAAATAACAAATCATAAATGAAAAATGTTACTTAATGCTTTTGATAATATTTAATATACCAAAAATATAACTTAATTATTTAATGTGATGAATTAAATTTTTTCACATATTTATTTATTAGGCTTCATATCTGACAATTTTTTATTTAACTCTCGCACGGAACTCTAGTGTTCCGCGGACCATCATTTGGGAACCGCTGCACTATATGTTATATGAAATAACCTATTCTATGAAAAGTTGCGATGTAGGAATGGACACACAAATATAATTGAAAATGTAGTTTAACAGTCCGTTTGTATATCGCCACGTGTCGGTGTGGAAGCTAGCCCAGCTCGTGTCTTCTGCCGTGTGCTAAGTCGAGGGTTTTTTTCGTTTTAGCGATTATTATTATATATTTAATTGAAATATTCATTTTTATTGATGGCTTCAACTCGTGTACATATCTTTATTTTTCAACTCGACGTTTCCAATATTTAATAGAAGTTCGTATTATGAAAGTATACGAGTATGCGATGTAAAACATTACTACTGCATTTAACAGTCCAGAGCCCGCGAGATTTTCATATCCATGTTACATTTGTGTACATTGTTTTAGAATTTATTTATTGGAATCGTTTTAATTAATTATTATTACGAATAGTTCCGCTGCGATCGTTGCGGTCGCTGTGGCTGTGGCTCGCGTGGTCGCCGCGACCACAGCCGCAGCGGCGCTCGGTCGCGGGTGCTCGCGGCAGTCGACGGCACCAAGTTCCTAATTTTCGTCCCGGTGCTGCTGACTGTCCTCTCTCTCGGGGCGACGGTGCCAAACCCAGGTGCCAATTGTGGATCGCTGTACACATTGAGCCCCCCTTCCTCCCCTCTCCCCTCCCCCCTCCCCCTCCACCGGGTCGCTGCGACACAGATAAACGAATTTGTACGAAGCACGTCAAGAATGCGTTTTAAATGAAACTGTCTTATGGAGTTTTGTCCCGGTATATTTTTTTGTTCCTAGTGTTTCAAACGCTTTACAATAAAGATGGTCACGGGAGAAACTAAGGTTTTACACATGTCAAGTTTTTTTATATAGTTGTGCAATCAAAACCTTAAAGATAAGTTTCATTTAAAATGTCCAAGGTCCGCGTATATGTAAGAAAGTATTAAACGAGGCGTGTCGGCGCGTAGTGTAGTGAAACGAAAGACTGGCTAACGTAACGACGCCGGCGCGCGGCGGCCGCGGCGGGGTGTCGGTGTGTGTATCGTATCGATGTTTGTTAATAGTATCGATATGTGTATAATAAAATAATATCGTTATTTCGATATGTCGATTTTTGTTCACAATGAAATTTGAAAAATTAAATACACTTATAGGAGTTTTATTATTATTTTTATTACAGAAAGATACAAAAGTAAAAATATTGAATATAATGCAAACTCGATACCATGAAATAAATATCGAAAATCGATTTATCGAGAATAATCATATTAACTATTTATATCGATTATTTATTGAAAAAAATATCGATTCTTTGATATATCGACAGCCCCCACGCGCGCCCCGCGGCGCCGGCCGCGCGGCGGCGAGGCGCGGCGCGTGTATATATTCGCTTGTAGACTAAAACTATACTTATAAATGATTATTATTACTATTATAATGTAAATGTACCGCGATTTGATCTACCCGAGTGCCGCGCGTCGGTCGAGGTGCGACCTTGCTTTAATTTTATTTATTGATCTATTATATCGGTTTTATTTTAAATCGTCAGTTATGTTATCGACCGGTTGAACGTTTTAACTGTTAAGCACATTTCTATGACGGTTCTCTCCTAACATGCGAAGCGTTTTAGTGAGTAGGTGTAGATAGGTACTAGGCGGACCACTAAATTATCAAGGGTCTATTATAAAAAATACATTTAGACGTTTAAAATCTAGACTTTGCTTCTAGCGATCGTGAGTCCATTATATACATAGATATAGATAATAAAATTCTATACATTACAATAGAAACGTCCTTTCGCTGAATAAAGTTGTATCTGAAAAATTGCTTCAGAGGAAACCTGTCGAAGACATTTTCCTTCCTAAAACATTCCCTTTTTATAGGCAGAATCATCTAGAATGCGATTGAAACGATACACGAATGTACGAACATATTATTTTTCAGATACGACTTTACTCTGCGAAGGGACGATATTGATTATAAACATTTTAAGCGAGTTTTTTACACAAAATTACCTGGAATCGTACCTGTTTTGACATAATATGAAAATATCTCGTCTATTTTACCGCTCCGTACGTTACCGAGGTTCTGCCGAGATGTCCCCCGACTGCGGTCTGTTAGAGCCCTTGTTTATATTATCTTATCAAATACTAGCAATATATTATATTATTACGTCTCTAACGCGTTGTCGTTCAGATGAAATCCTCTCGCTCTCGTCTGCCTCTTTACTTTTGTTTCACTCGTCTATACTTATTTATTGTTAGCGAATGGACACATGTCGACTTGAGTCACTTTTGTATATAATCCGAGCTGTTTCATCCAAAGAGAATGTGTTCATTTATAAAATTGTCTTTTATTTTATTTGATTTGTTTATGTTTAATTGAAATTGTAATATATTTATTGGATCCAGACTGCATTTCCACTCGACTCGACCAGTAGCTTCCGAACCATTGCTATACTGTGCTCAAACAAACTGTCGTAACCGATTTCAGATCGAATGATCGAGTGATGTTTGCATTCTATTATAAAATGAAAATGTCAATAAAGTGGTATTTTAAACGGCTCTTTGTGTTTTAATTACCTCTCTTTGTTGTTAAATATTTAAAAAATAGGTAAAATGACACTTGTAGGTATGTACGACCATAGAGATAATACACATAGAGTAAGCAAGCCGATCAAAAATGTGATGTCCCGATAGAAAGAATAACAGACCCCTTTCTATCTCATTTTATTTTTAATTCTTTTTTAATTTTTAGAGAATTAGAATATACTATAATAAATAACCATTTTTAGTGAGCATTAAGAATTGTGCGTGACAGACAATACATAGAAGATTTAAGTTATATTAAATGTATAAAAAATGAAATAAAATTTAATTTCATCAACTATGATTTTAATTTATTACAATAATTAAGATACTTTTTATAATAATTTCATTCTTCGTTACTTATAGTGAATTTCTTTTAATTTAAGTTCTGCTTCATATAAAGTCTACTGATGCGCATGCGTCATGCGTCAAACAAAGATAGAAACTAGACAGATATTTTCTATCTTTTTTTCTCCACGCTTCACCGTCATTTCTAATGCTGAATGGCAGTTGCCTACTCTATGTGTCCTATCTCTATGCATACAACACTCACTGGTAGTGACTTACAACGCCATCTATCGCACCGTAAACAAAGTGAGAAATATGTAAGTCTACAAAATTTAAATGAAAAGAAAAACTACTAACGCCTTATCTAATATATAAAATTCTCGTGTCACAGTTTTCTTTACCATACTCCTCCGAAACGGCTTGACCGATTTTGATGAAATTTTTTGTGCTTATCCGGTATCTATGAGAATCGGCCAACATCTATTTTTCATCCCCCTAAATGTTAGGGGTAGTCCACCCCTAAATTTTTATTTTTATTTTTTAGACAAAATTTTGAATTTCTATTTTTTTATGATACAACATACAAAAATACATACAATCCTCAATTTTCACTAGGGACGAACCCGAGCGGAGCGAGGGTGAGTCGCTAGTATCTTATAGATATTACAGATATGTATTATTAAACTTGCATTAAATTATAGTTCGCATATTTGAGCTTCGATTGAGAAAACTTTATACATAAGTTACAATAATATTTCATCTGATTGATTTGGTTTTACCCATCTCACGTACTGTGACTCTGATGGGAAAAAAACTCTTCCCTGCATAAAGCCTATTGAGAATTAAGATAAAATTCTAAGAACCTGATGTAATACGGTCATAATATAATTCGTGTAGTGTATCGTAATTCGTAACCATTTGGGGGTCTCATTAAAAAAAGGTGTCTAAACTATTAAATAAAGACTTTTAAAGATTATTTTTTTACTTTTGAAAGTTAATTTTTAAGAGATTTTAAACAATATATTGGTAGCATTTTTTTTTATTATTCGATGGACTTAAAAGTAAATAAAATTCTATAATTTTTTTTTATTATATTTTTACAACTTCATCGAACAAGTTTATATGCTACATTGTAACGATCGGACATTATATAGTTTGCTTATTGTTAGTACTAACTAAAATCACAAGCTCCTTTATCACCACAACGGCTCAAACAGTTATCTAAAATTAAATGTGTATAAATTTCATTTTTATTTATAATTATTTTATATTATATTTACAAATTAAGTAAATCCTTCTATATATCTATTGGTTTTAAGTTATATCGACTCTATATATAGCTATATGTTGAACCCTCGATAATGTAAAAACTTCCATATAATATTTTAAGATTTAAAATATCTAATAAACATAAAGAAACAAAAAATCTAATAACGCTTATATTATCATCTACTTCGTTAAGGAAATCCGAAACTGGATCTCTACAGCTTTATCTAAAAACGCTTACAATTAGATACACACTATTTATTCTCTTTTAGTATAAAATCTATTTATAACAAATATTCCATCTTGGCTAAGACACTAAATATTATGAAGTTAATATCAAGCGTTGATTGTTGAATTTTAACTGCCGAGATCAAAATAGTGACAAAATCTTAAAACATCATATTGTATGGAACCTTTTCATTTTTGGTTAAACCCTCACCCTTTTCTCCATTTTTTTTAAACACGAGTATTTTTTATAATCTGTAAGGGTAGGGCAATGTGACAGGCGGCGAGACCGCTTCTTCCTTCTCCTCCTGCTCGGGCATATAGTAATGCAGCTCGTACGCCGGAGACAGTTCCACTGTCATTTTCTCGCAGTTCGGATCGCACGGCTGCTTGTGAGGATGCCTGGGCTTCACGTCGTTATAGAGCCCTCGCATAAACGCTCTAGATGATGCAACTTCCCCGCCGCCATGCGTGTCTCGGTGAATCACGCTGTTATTGAACAAGACCGGAAAATTCCCTTTAAATCTGTCAGTATTCTGATTAAAGTTTTCCACAAATCTCTGCAACACGTCTTTACGGAACTGCGATTCGTACTCGTACTCTTCGTCCATATTCAATTTTGGCTTCTCAGTCTCGTACGTTACATCTGCTTTAGTGATCCCTTCCATCGGGGCTTGCGTGTACGGAATGTAGTCTAAGTTTCGTTCGAATTCGTTATTTTTGGCAGCCATGTTTACGAAGTCTTTGTAATTTCTTATAACGTAAGCATCTCTGTCAAAAGCTCCGTCTTCAGTGAGCAAAGTGTATCCTGTTTGTGTCGTTAGAGGCGGTTGTGTGAGATATACATTCTTGTCAAAGTGCGGTTTAGTGGTAACAGCGTAATCGTCAAATCTCTCATTATGTATGTTAGGTTTGTATTGAATTACGTTATTTTCTGGCGTCGTGGGATTCACTGGTAGAACGTTCTTCGGCGACTCTGTTTCAGTGAATGAGTTAACTCTATATTGGAAATTATTGTCATAATCATTAATGCTGACTTTTTGTGTTGTCAGTGGAGGGAAATATTGTATTGTAGCTTTTCTTCCGGGTGGATTCGTAAGAGGTGTTCTATTGGTTGTCCAAATAGGTGTCGTGTGCGTCGCTGGGGCCGAAGTTGTATGTGTCGTGGTTTTCTTTGAAGTTGAAAACCTTTTTATATCTATTTTAGCCATATTTAGGTAATCAGTGTCATCCTCTTCAGTAGTATCATAGTATTCAGGAACGTTAAAGAACTTCTTATACTTCTTAGTCGTGTACGAATCAACTTCTATACTTTTGTTGTCCGTTGTCAAAGATATAGGCGACGTAGTAGCTGGCGGTTCTTCGGAAGAAGAATTAAGTGTTGTGCTTGATATTTCTGGAGTAGAAGTAGGAGCTAACTCTTCTTTACTCGTATTTTCTACAGAATTACTATTTTCTTCGTAATCGAAATATACAACATTACCGAATGAATCAGTCTTCTTTCTTTTAGATTTTCTCTTCTCAGTCATTTTCTGTAATCTTTCTCTCAGGTCGGGTATATCATTCTTGCTATCTTTTTCCGACAAATTATTCCATTCGCTTTCTGTCTTATTTTTTAAGACTTGAGTGAAAGGTTTAGAAGAATTCTTTGGTTTAAAGACAATTCCTAGAGAACTTAAACTTTCGTTTCTCCAACTGTTGTCGTCGGGGTCTCTTACGAACAGCTTAGGAGGCTGGACTTCTATCTTCTTCAATGGTTTATAATTTGGGTTTACTGTATATAATGAAGTATTTTTAGATCTTTCCCCATTAATGGGTTTCACACTTAGTTTGTCAGTTGTAGAGAAATTAGATTGCAACTGCTCTTGGGATGTTTCAATTTCTTTATCTAATGAAACAGTCGTATCGACATGTTTAGAATTTTCATCATTTTCATTAATTACTTTTTCCATTAGTAGCTCCTCTTTAATAACATCTTCATTCTGTAATATATAAAGCAATTATGTATTTTCTGTAAATATATTTTTACTCAGTTAACTTCTTTATTACGTAAATTTAACACATCAAAATGATAACAATAATTACAAATAATACATACTAATCATACCTAAGTATATTTTAAATAAATCTTTTCGGATTATTTCGCGGATTTATTTTGATTTTTGGTTCCCGACGTTTCGAATGCTTTACAGCAATCATGGTCACGGGAGAGACTGAGGTTATAGACGTCTCAAAGCCATTATATACTTGTTACAGATAGTGCCTACTCACAGTTTTATAAAAAGATTTCAAAAATTCAAAAATGGCATCAAAGTACCTTACAATATTTGTTGATTTTAATTCTAAACATTTTTTTTTTAATAAGTAGTATGTTAAAATACCTACTTAGTAAAGAAATTTAAATTATATATAGCAATATATATAATTAAAGATACATTATTAATATAAAAATATATTATTTATACTTACTAATTGACTCTGTGATTGCGCTTTGCTACCAGCTTTTTCTTCGGGAATATCTGTTTCAGTATCAATTCCAAACATAGCTCGTAAATTTTCTTTAGGATTAATATTTAAATCAAATGTTTCTTTTGCAGTTAATAGTTCTGAAAGTGTAGTTTTTTCTGATAAATCCAGGTATCCAGCTCGCATTGATTCTATAGTATCCCATTTCGACGAATTCAATTTAACTGGTGGTATTGTAACATTCCCTTCAGAAGACGACATGTTCTTTACATAGTCTTTGCTTTCTAACGTCTGTTTCAATGTAGATGAGAGTAAGTCATTTTTTAATTTATCAAGTGAAGGTATGTCTGATGTTACAGTATCTTTCAGGGAAACTCTAGATCGTTTCGTTTCGGCTTTTTCCATCTCCTCAGTTTTGTTATTACTGATATCTTCATTGGATGTGATCAGTGGTCGCTTTCTATCTATCGTCGTATATTTTTTCCATACAGGTAATTCTGGTTCAGTCGTTTCTGGTTCATAGGTTGTTACTTCAGTAGTATCTGGTATTATGTTTGTAGGGTCATTGGTGAACTCATTATCATTGGTAGAACTGCTTACAGATGTTGACTGACCATCCATATCTGTGGTCGTTTCTTCTGTAGCACTTATCAAGTGAAATTCCGAGGCTGCTTTAGTTCTAAACATCGATTTTTCTTCAAAATGTTCTGTATTCGACATCAAAGAATCGCCTAAACTTCGCTTAGCTAAAGCTTGCATGGTTGTTATAGTGTCTCTTTCATTCGATAAATTTTCAATAGGACTTTCCATAGAATTGACATTTGGCCCATGCTTAACCTTTTTCGGATCATCTCCATATTTATTTTTTTCTATTTCATAACTTTTACTAGAATTAATATGAAATTTATCAAATTGAACAACGCTTCGTCTGATGTCACTCGATGGAGGAACATTTGAGCCATTCACATTTATTAACTGTAAAACAATGGGTTCTTCTTGAGCAAGATCTTGAGACCCACTGCGAGTGCGACGGAGCGTGAACGCCACCGGTGTGTCAATGCTAGACAACACGATAATCAAGCTTAGTACGAATAACCTGCAACAAAAATTACGATGACAATATAATCACTGCTGTACACCTCTTAGGATAATTTGCTTCGGATTTATTGATTTCTATCATAGCACTACCAGCGTTGCCTAATTTTTGAAATGAGTTAAAACTGTACATAATCACGCACGTGTATAAACTATTAGTTAGTAATGGTCTTGCCCAGTCACGCATACAACATTGAACAGTTTTGTATCAAGCAGGTAACTTTGTTCTTACTCTTTATCTTTATATGTTGGCCAGGTTTAATTGTAGGTACAATAGGTAACCTTATCATGGTATTACTAACAGTTGTCCAAAATAATATAAAGACGTGGAAGGTACTGCAAAAATATGAGCGAAGAGGAGTCGCTCATACTATTTTAAAGTAATTTAATAATTCATCGAAACCCTATTTTGATGCGTGCAATAATTTTTCGGCATTTTATTAATATTTGTAGAAATCGATTTGAAAATGATAATCGCGTGATGAGCCAGAGGATCTCTTTTAAATATCACTGATAAGCGGAAGCGGATGGAAACTGTTGGTTAATCGATTATCTATTATTTATTAAACGAAGCTCCTACATCGATTGATATCGAGCGCCAAAGTTAAATATTTAACTAAACTAATAATAAATGTATTGTCTCCGGTTGTTATAACTGGCCGTCGTGACGTCGCTCGCGTGTTTCTACACAATATATCGTCCGATGACTTAATCGCTTCAATTGCTTCCATTCAATCGTTATCCAAATATAAGCATTCTATTACGTTTCATTAAATGTATTATATGTTATTTAACGTGTAATATTATTTTTAATGGTAATTTTAATGCAAGTATGTATACGCGAAAGGTAAAGTAAGTATATTTAAAAATGAGCGTTTATATGAGATTAGTCAAAATTTACAGAATTAGATGAAATCTGCACTTAAAAAAAATAATATCTTAAAGAATTTCATAAGCAGGTAAAAGGTCGCAAAGTACTTTGTTAAATATGAGAAAAGTCGTCATTTTAGAAACGTTATTACGGCTCTATTGACATCACAATGTAGGTAAATTGGTGGGAAGATGATAAACATGCGTGAATTTGCAACATCATCAAGTTTGGAGCAATTAATTTTGAAAGATAAGATCATTTCATATTGTTCCACATATAACCTAAAGGTACTTTATCTAAGTGAGAACTACACTTGGGCGGTACAATTATACATATTATTAGCGGTTCGTTCCTAGACAAAAACAAATCTATCCCACGGGAACCGAAATTTTTCCTGGATGATATATAGCCTATAGCCTTCCTCAATAAACGGGCTATCTAATGCAAAAAAAAACCGATACGTAGTTCCTGAGATTAGCGCCTTCAATTAAACAAACAAACAAACAAATAAAATCTGCCTCTTTATAATATTAGCTTAGATGAGAACGAATTTTACTTAATAAACAAATATCTATTATAACTACAGAGGCAAGCCCCGTCCTCTTTACAATTGAGTGATCTACAAAAATAATATCGAAATCATATTATTTAACAAATGCGTCCTGCCTCATGTTATAAGTTAATGAAGCAAAACAAACCACCAGTAACATAGTTGTACCTAAGTACTTACTTACTTAGCTCTGTACAATAATGATTCAATATTTAATAACTACTTTAAATATTATGTGGAATATTGAACCCTTTTTTAAATAAGTCAGTGTATTTAATATTTTATACATTTCTAAAATATCATAAATTAATACTTTCTTAGATTTACGCGAATACTTGACATTTAAAATAAAACTATCTTTTCGGATTTTTTCGCGAATTTATTTGATTTATTTATATTTATTTTGATTAAATGTTTAAAGTTAAAATATTGTAAGGTACTTTAGTGCCATTTTTCAATTTTTTGAATTCATTTTGTTAATTGTGGGTAGGCTGTCTGTAACAACTATATAATACCTTAGAGACATCTAACACCTCAGTCTCTCCCGTGACCATGATTGCTGTAAAGCATTCGAAACGTCGGGAACCAAAAATCAAAATAAATTCGCGAAAAAATCCGAAAAGATAGTTTTATCATAAATTAACATCAACCAAGCTAAAAGATAAAAGATAAACCAACCAAGATAAAAGAAAAGATAGTTTTATTTAAAATGTCAAATATTCGCGTAAATCTAAGAAAGTATTATATCAACCAAGCTATTAAATGGTCTAAAGAAAAACTATCCCTTGATTATGAGTTCGCGCTTAGCATCTACGACCTATCCTAGCCTTATAGGGTCACATCTCTATCCCCTTTACGTATATCCTCTTTAAGAATTTACCCTATCCTTATGTTACATAGAGAAAGCTGAAGTATTTCTGACAACGGGTTTGTTACGACTGCAGGTTAGCATTGTTTTTACATTGGCTGGTAATTTTATATATGTAGCAATATACTCTATGCTGGTAATCCAGCGCATACAATTCGCTTCGATCGTATATTTGAAGGATTTTGCAAACTTCATGCTAATATCATGTAAAATTAATAGGTTTAACCGACTTTTTAAAATTTCACAATTCAAGCGCACACATTTCACTTAAGTATATTAAAATAGTTTGTATAATATTTTGTACACATACTCGTATTTCCATTATTTTGATTAAAATATGGAATGGAAAACAGAAATTTTTGATGTGGCAATTTATGTTTTAAAAAACAAAAAACATGTGGTCCTATTCGACTATTCTGCAATATTTATTAAAATTGATTAGCAACTGTAACGCCCTAATTCCTACCTGAAAGTGTTGCACAGTGACATCTTCACACGTTGCGTCACTCACACATGATAACACGCGCGCGCGCAGCGGTAGCCGCTAGATCACTGATCTATAATACGATACGATCGATATCATTTGATCGCCGATACTACTAACTTTATCACTTGGATTTTTCTAATAAACTACAATGATAATAATCGATATCGATCCTTTATGTCAATCCCGGCGGGTTACCTTCATCTGGATAAATAGTAGCAATAATATCTATCTATTTCTAGATATACTAAGTATCAATTCAGTATAAATGTTTTGTTTTATCTTTTTCACACAATTATTTTTGTTTAAATATTTAAACTAAAACAACGTGTAAGCAGATTAGCGGACACAAAGAATACTAATTTTGCAACAATTTCTATTCTAACATTAACAAGGGAAGTGAAACAACAAACATACATCAAACTTTACAATATATTATTTTTATAATCATTGCAAGTGTTAAAATTGTAATATAATTGAACAGGTAGTAAAAAATGAAGTTAGCAGTTTTTATTAGTTAATTTGGATCGCGGCCTTCCTCCTCCTTCAGTTTCCATCCGAAAGTACATCCGATACACTATACCTTCAGTCAGCAGTCGGTACCAACAATTAGAAATAGGAACCATTCATTAAACAAATCGCCGGGACTGTATTTAATATGCATGAGGCGTGAGTGTACCTCGTTAAATAACAATTATACATAAATCATGATAATCGCACGAGTTTTTTAAATGACACCCAAACAAACAGGACATATTGTAGTGTCAAGGGAATAAGATGACCCGACGATTATCGTCAACCGTATAAAGTAGTAGCAGTTTCGGTTACGGCTGCTAATATCACTGAAGGCAACATGCTGCTAACACCCATATATCAGTGGGACAAAAACTCAATACGATCAATGATGTACGAGGGTGCAGGATGGCCTAACGTGCTTTCTGAGGCACGTGGGTGTACATACCACCGACTTCCCAACTCCGGGCACATAACGAGTTTTGTATGACAAAAAATCCTAGCAACACTTTTAACCCGAATCGGGACTCGAACCTGAACTCACGATCTGAAGCAGTACATGTAAGCAGTTAAACCAACAAGGGAGTTATCAGCTGTCAGAGTATACTTACCTATTTATTCAATTTCAAAATATTTTATTCAACATTAAATTAGTGCTTATTTGTTCAAACGACCAATACTTGTTGTATTTTTCAATAGAGAGCTCTTTTTTCTATTTTAAAATCAAAGCGTTATTTCTAAGATTTATATACACACGTATATAGATAAAATACATTTTTTTGGCTTTTTAAAGTAAAATCTGTATTTTATACCAATAGTGGGTTGTGTTTGTGATATGGAAGTACATTGTACATATGTCCGATCGTATGTTCCCTCGCAATTACTTTCAATTATTCATACGTCTTAGATTTATCAGTATAGGCTATATGGCTATAATCAAAAGGGCTTCTTATTTATGACAATCATTTGAGCACGTCTGATTACCTGAATTATTTTTGACAACATGTTTGGCTTCGTTTGTGACCCTACTTGCTGTGCCAGCGGTCGCGAGTTCGAACCTCGCTGGGGCCATTCATTTACGTAATGAGCACGAATATTTGTACACCAGTGTTTATATATTATAATATGTTTGTATTTAAAATTATTATATACATCTCAATGCTCGCCAAGCATTAAAAATGTTTCGCTACTAATTACTTCTAACAACGATATCTCAAAAACTATTCATCTGATTGATTTAGTGTAAAGAGCAATTTTAATCTGCATTAAATGACTAAGCTAACTAAAATATTCATTTGAAAATAACTTTGAAAATAACGTAATGTTTTTAATTAAAAATGTTAACATAAAAGTGGTTATTGTAAGTCAACCGTAAGAGATAGAGATATGCTATCGCGGACTTTTTTGTAGCATTTTTATAGATTTTGAATTCTCTAGTACATTACTTAACTGTATCTTTGCTAGTTTACGCGGCGTTCGCGTGGAAAGTTCCCATTTGGCGAGATTTTTTGCGACCTCTTCAACATTTGTCGCCGTATTTCAGCTAATTTACATAAAAGCATAATAAATTATATACCTAAACCTTCCTCAAGAATTACTCTTTCTATTGTTGAAAACCGTATAAAAATCCGTTCAGTAGTTTTCGAGTTTATCGCGTACAGACAGACAGGAGGACAGACAGGAGGACAGAAAGACGCGGCCGGGGGACTTATTTTTATAATAAGTATAGATGTGTAGTGTAGGTATACCAGATACTTATCTGGTATCCATAACATAAGCCTCGTAGCTTACCATTTAACTAGATGGTGCTATGTCTATAAATTTAACTATAATAAAAGTTTCTTAATTTCAGGAATTCTATGAATTAAATATATTAATTTATTTGTCTGAATTAAAATGCCATTTCATGATGTGTAGGTAATATTATAATGTAGATTTTTCCTAGTTGAACTAAGTTATTAGTGTGGACTGTAGGATGGTGTTAGACCTACCAGAATTTAATAAGAGTTTCTAAACCTTTCAAACGTTCTCGTATGAAGTTACGATGTGTTTCGTTGCATGTGTCGATTAAGTTATTTATTTGTATATGTATATATATATATATATATATATATATATATATATATATATATATATATATATATATATATATTTATATATATATATATCTCTATTTTGTTAATTTATTATTTAACTACTTATAGAACACGCTTCAATGAATAAGTACTTATTACTCTTAATGTATGTGACATATAAATCATTTTATTTATAAATTCAATTAAAAGAAATGATGAAATATAGTTTATTGTTATTAGAAACTCAAAGCAGATTTTATTGATATGTTTTGGCTTTGTTATGAAATATTTATAATGATAACATAAAAAAGGAACAACTTTAAATTTATAATATAATTTCAAATTAGTCGTTCATTATTTTTTTATGTACAAATTAACTTTTAGAATTTATTTAATTGATACAACCTTCGTTTTTAAACGAAAACGTCAATGTCAAATGTCAATTACGTTTCCGTTGGAAATTGAATTCACATGTCAAATATTCAAATTTCAAAATCAGAACGCTTGTTTATAAGTTACTTAAAATTTACAACAAATTGCACAAAAATTGTGAAATTTCGATACGTTTTCTGAACATAATAATAATAATGTCTGAATTTCGGACGCCTATAAAAACAAATAAAGCAATCGATCCCGAGGAAACAATAACGATACCACCTTCACCATTTTTAAATAGACTTGGATATGGCACAGGTAATATTTAGTATTCATTTACTAGGTATACTACTTAATATTATTTTGTATTCAGCCATTTTTAATGTCCCACTGCTGGTTATGGACCGTCCTTCAATACGAGGGCGACTTAATGTTATTTTGCATTTTGTGTAATAGGTGTGTCAGTAATGCAACTTGTGAGGTCGCCCAGAGCTGGTCAGATACGTTCTCCCTGGGCTTTAAAGATGTTAAACAAACGAGTTAAACCAAATAGAGTATACACGGACAGAATTCAAGCTGAAGCAGAACTTCTTAAACGTATGTCTCATCCAAACATAGTAGGTTTCAGAGCATTCAGTAAAGGTAAAATATTGTATTTGGGCATGGAAGCATGTGACCTGTCATTGGGAGATATGATTGAAAACAGAGTTGAAGAAAGCTGCGAGCCATTTTCGCCTAAGCAGATTTTAAAGGTAGGATATTATAATATTTATTTTTTATAAATTAAACCATAGTGACGTGTACCAATATGATGATGTTCTCCTAGCCGATTCCGGCCACGGCGGCCAATATCAATGAGATTAGCCAACTGCTTTCTGCGCAGGAGATATTATAGTGCACAAGTGTACGCGCAGACACAAGCATACTCTCTATTCCTATCACTCTCATACTCCGGTGGGACGACCACTCGACACGACCGGTGAGAGTTAAGGCGCAGGACCGACGGCTTTACGTGCTCTCCGAGGCACGGGGGTGAAACACCGCCAACTTCCCAACTCCGGGCTGTTACTGAGACTTACTATACAGGAAGACTCAATAACTAAACTTGGCCCGACCCGGGACTCGAACCCAGGAGCTCAAGGTGTGCAGCCGTACATGCTAGCCACTACACCACCGAGGCAGTAGTACCAATATACATACTATATATTTTTATACTCAACTCATATGATCAACATCTATAAAGTATACTTATGTTAACTCTTTACATAAATTAATAATAATGAAGCTAAAATTGTCTGTTTAAATATTTTTTTATTTGTTGATTATACCAGATTAAATGTTTTATATAATCAGCTGTTCAGTTAAAATTATGAAACATTACATTCCAGGTAGCATTAGATATAGGGAAAGCTCTTGACTACTTACATACTAAAATGCAAATTTTGCATGGAGATATCAAGTCATACAATATTCTGGTGAATGGTGACTTTGTTATTTGCAAATTGTGTGATTTTGGAGTGACATTGCCATTAGATGAGAACGGGGTTTTTGATAAGAAGAAGAACAAGACTACACTATATTATGGTATGTTTTTATGGTTCTGTTAATGCTCATGATCAATCCCATTAAGACAAGCCATCCACATGGACAATTTGAATATAGTTTATTGTTCAGCACTGCTTTTTAGATTTTATGGCAGAAAACCTAATGTCTATTTTATGCTTTATCTGGAATGAAACCTAGGTAATCAAACCAATAAGCCATTTTTCTGCAATATAAATTAATGGTAATAGGATTTTGGATGTAGTTTAATTTTACTACATAAATGATAATAATAGGAACCACACAGGCTTACTGCAATACTAACTAGTATTATTATATCACTACTCCAAATTTCACCTAACAGTATCAAATATTTTTCTTTATAATATTAGTGTAATCTTATATGAAAGTATTTATTGATAGTACATATTTCATGATTATTTTCCAGGCACTGAAGCATGGAGTGCACCAGAAGTGATCCACGGAGGCGAAATCTCAAATAAGACAGATATATGGCCGCTCGGGCTTACCTTCTGGGAGATGATGGCACTAATGCCACCACACTCTATGGACGAAACGCTGGATGAAAGTATTTGTAGCGATCAGAGCATGGATGAAGACTACTTTAGAGAAAAATATGGTAATTTTTGTGTTTATTTTTTTTCTCAGTTTATTTAATATATAATTTCTCTTTATTTTCCTGAAATGTTTGTATAGTTATAGCACTATTGATACTTATGAGTGGTACAAAGGTTGTTTATATAGTAACTAGCAATTTGACTGGTTTAGAAAATAATATATTGGATAGATATTTAAAGTGGAGATGGACTATGCACAGGCTGAGACAGGTAGGGTTTTTAGCAATAGGTATAAGATGAGATAAAAGATGGATTAAAAATGAGGCTAAATTGAATTGGAGCAGTGTAGAGCAGAGCATGAAATATATGTATGCGAAAGGTCATTTTAAGTACCTATGTGATATTCAGATGTGAGTATAATAATTTGATACTATCGAGTTTATCTGACGATGGGACCTGAATGGATAAGGGTAACTGCTTAATGGTAGTAGTCAGCATTTAAAGCTGCAAAATTGATCCCATTTGGTTAGTTTTAACGAGTTTCATTCAATAAAATTGGTAGTATCACATGCTAGATGGATAATGGAATTCCAACAAGGAACAAGAGCTACCTTTAAAAGCTTTAAATATAATACATATGTTTTAACATTATATATTTAGATGTCATATAGATAAAGTACATTAAAAGTGATATGTTACTACAAGCAACTGCTGAGTTTCTCGCCGGTTGTTTTCGACAGAACTGCCTTCGACCTGGTGCTAGATTCTTCACAGACTTACATACTGGCATTTATTTAAAAATTTTGAAAATGTAAAAAGTGATGATTCAATGGTTCTTGTAAAAGTCTATATATTTGAAAAAAGTATATTTTGATTTGCAGGCACCCGTCCCCCGCTGCCGGTGAACATCTGCCCGACAGCATACACCGGAGCCCTAGCGCTGTACTGCGCGTGCACGGCGCCCGCGCCGCAACGCCCCGCCGCCGCAGACCTGGCCCGAGCTGCGGAACACTTCTTACACGAGTTGGGTACCAGTTGTGGCTCTACTGTATCTGCTTAGTTAGATTTTAAATGATATAGTCATTTTATAAAATGACATACTTGGATTTACTCCCTTTTTAAACATTTAATATAGTTTTAGTGATCTTATTTTACCGATCAATCTCTTTTGTATATTCTCCATTCTGTGTGACATTGGCGAAGTAATCTGTGCTCAACTGGCACGCTTTGAAGCCATTATTAGCAAGAGAATTGAATTGAATCAACATTCATATTAACAAAATTAACTCCTTACTTTTGTATTTTTAACAAGTGTATATTGTTTTTTTTTTCTTTAAGATAAAGACTACGTTTGTCTGTAAAACGCAAACAACGCCATCTTCAGTACAAACTTGGATGATTTAGAAATAGTAATATTTTCAAATTATGTAAATTTGATTAAGTAGCCAATTATTATACTTTCCATTGCTAAATGGATTATAGATTATAGTTTTAATTATATAAATGATGAATGATTTAAATTTAAGGTTATGTATTTTTAGAAATTATTACCAAGATAAGATTCCAACTCTGTGGAAGTTCTGAAATCCACGAGGTGGGACCTAATGCGATTTCGATGTTGATATACTTTTTGTGTTTAAGAACTTTAAATAATTTTGTAGAAAAAAAAAATTATAACTAATAACTTTCCTTAGTGCCCTTACTTTTGTTATGTAATGACATGGAGTGGGACCAAGCAATTAAGGATTAAATCAAAACATATCATGTATTTTAAAATAACTATATTTAACACAAATAGAAAATTAACAACAACATTCTCTCACACACACAGACATACGTTTACATTATACGTTATATAAATATACATATATTTAGTTACAATGAATAGGAATCCAAAATATAGTTTCACTGTACACTGTACTTTAACTTCAGCGAGTGCGGGATTATTGTATACATACCAACATCCCTACATTATTGATAAATGACTAAAAAACGATGTAAATACATCTTAGTCATGTTATATTATAACATGTTAAACATAGTAAGTTTAAATAGAGTTTTAAAATGTATAAAAAAAATTTTTTTTTATAATGACATAAATTAATGACAAAAATATGATAAAACTGTTCTTAATTGAAACATACTTTTTTTGTAAAATTAGTGTTAAATAAGAGATTCCAACGGATAAAATATATGTGTTGTGAACACAAATGTTTCTAATTGACTAGTTTTATTCGATACACTGCGAGAAGTCCTACACAACTAAGCACCGGGATAAAAGATAAATTAGGTTATATACATACATGTAATATGAAATTAATTGCATGTGGGTGGTGTTTGTATGCTTTGTTTTAAATGTGTATGATAAAATGAAACTGGTTTTTTGAAAGAAATATTTGTTCAGTTTTCTCACATTGATGGTGATAATAACTAAATAAATATGTTGGGACACTAAGACACAGCACCATCTAGTACCATGGTAAGCTACGAGGCTTGTGTTATGGATACCAGATAGTTGGTACACTACACATGTATAAACTTTAAATACATACACATTATAAATATACACCCATGACTGAGTACAAACATTCGTGCTCATCACACAAGTGAATGCCCCCAGTGAGTCTCAAAACTGACAACCGCTGGCACAGCATGTAGGGTCACTACAAACTGAGCCAAACATGTCGTCAAATTTAATTTGTGTGTAGATTAATATTAAAACACATGGTAAAATAATATTAAAAAATTGTTGTTTGTCGGTTTATAAAAAATAAGAGATAAGAATGATTAGTATTTAGTCAGTACAAAACTGTAACATGTTATCTTAGTCTATTTTAGTTATATACAAAGCTAGGCTTAATATTTGCATTTGTTTCCTTAACAATTTGTTGTATGAAATAAATACAAATGTACGAAAAATCTTTATAATAAAGCTTTTGTAATGTTTGTTTTTATAATATTTCATGGGAATAATTCATAGAGAAAAAAATCATATTTGTATAGCTCTATTTTAAAGATTTTATATTTTTATTGTGGAATTAACACTTGTTTACATTTATATGAATGTATAATGAGGTATACACGTAAGGCGAGTGCTCGTATGTGGGAGTCGCGACATACAGACATATTATAGTACGTTATATATACATTGTAACTTCATTTTATTAGTTAATGTACTGGTTTTGGGGTATTGGTTAAGTTATCAAATATACTGGGGAGAGATAGTGTGTTACAATAATTTGGGAGTTTACAATATTAAAACATTTTGAATAAATAATTCTAATTGGGGAAAGTATTTAATCGATATACATTTTGTTTTGAGTTTAAGTACGTAATTGTATAACTATTAGTATTTAATTTGAAATTAAATATAAAAAAAAATTATTAGGTATTCCAGCCATCTTCGTTTCTTCCAATATTCATATTAATATTATGAATGTGACAGTGTGTTGTTTGTTTTTCTTTTACGTCAATATAGAGTGACGGATTGGCGTGATTTTTACCGCGGGATATTATATTATTTTGGTAGTAAAACGCGTTTATACATACATATACAGCCCTAAAAATATTTATGATCACAATTACTTACTTGAAATTTTGTATTAACTATTAATGCTATTAAATACGTGTTTTAGCATTTTTCTAAATTCATCCCATGAGAGAATAAAATATATATTTTTTTGTAGTTTTAGCTCGAGCGAATTCATTTCTGCTATGTATTTATGTATAATTTATGTCAATAGACACTGTTCGCAATAACAATATTTACTGCGAGTTTATTATATTTACACAATGTTGTATATCGGTTGCGGTGCGGGCTGGCGGGCCGGCGGGCTAGGAGCGGTCGCGCTCGAGCGCGCGCAGGTAGGCGACCACGTGTCTGTGACCGGCGGCGGCGGCGGCCTGCAGCGGCGTGGCGCCGGCCGCGTCGCGCGCCGCGCCGGCGCCGCCCGCCGCGCGCGCCAGCAGCCGCACGCAGCCCAGCTGGCCGAACATGGCCGCGCCGTGCAGCGCCGTCTGGCCGTTCTGCGGCGAGGGAGAGACATGATCATCTTTGATATAGACGAATATGAAAAATCTATACATATAATAAAATTCTAACTGAGCCGAATTACAGTACAAGTACATTAAATATTTTTTGGAAAATCTTATTGAAATAGACATTATTATCGATACAAAGGCCGAATCAAGAGTTTTTAGAATTTTTGACTGTCTGTCTGTTACCGTATCACGGAAAATGGTAAAAGGGATTTTGATGAAATTTGGTATGGCGATAGCTGGTTATCCGGGTCAACGTATAGGATACTTTTTACTGCAAGAAAATATCTCGTTTCTGAAAAATCTATACTAAACGTTAAAACAACTAGATTCTAACCCAAACGGAGCGAGGGTGAGTCGCTAGTCGGATATATCATTTTTAATTTGTAATACAAATAAACCATAAGGAACCATTTTTAATATTTATTTTATCTTTAAACGTAATATTTTGCATACACATTATAGGAAATTAACGCCATCTGTTACGACTTTTAACGAATTTAATAATACTAAAAATTGATAAGAGATGGCGCTCAACCATTAACTATTTTAACGCCTTATTTTGTTAAACCATTAAAATATTAAAAAATAGATGGCGCCACACACTTATCATATAAGTCGATACCTTATTTGGTAAAACAGCTAACTCCGTATGAGCAAATTTTTCAGGACACTTAAAACTATAATACATTAAAAAATCTAAAAAAAGGTATACTTATTAAAAAATCTAAAATACCGTTAGTAGATAATATCGTAAGCTGTTATTTTTGATACTCTAACATCCTACTAAAATAATTCCTACTGAATTACAGTTGCGTACAATCTAAACCAAAAAATATCTTTTGACGAACTGTGGAGTTGGCTGGTTTGCCAATTAAGATATCGAAGTATGTATTAATATTTTATTGTAATAAAACTTTAACTGTATATTACCACTAAAACATGAATATAATTAAAAAAATATATATATAAAACCGCGACAATTCGGCGTAAATATATTGATAAAAATAATGTGTTTTTAATTTAAACTTTAAAAGACAAATTCATTCCACTACCCTTATAATAATAATTAAGTTTTTCGGAAAAGACATAAAAATTGCATTTTTCAGAAGAGAGCACCAATATGGATAAATTTAAAAAACAAAAAAATATCTAAAATACGAGATTTATCCAAATCGTTAAGAGCTGTTTCCGAGGTATACGAAATAATTTTATATACACAAGTACATATAATTGTCCGTTCAATATAATAAGACGTAAATCGTAATACATACATGGTAAATATTAACAATGTGGCTATTATTCAATATATAAATGGTTGAGGTTCATATAAATGTTCAGTAAGTGTACATATATATCGTGCGGGACTCACGGGCAGCAGGCCGAGGTCGGGGCGGTGCTCGAGCAGCGCCGCCACCACGCCGGCGTGCCCCTTGTGCGCCGCCTTGAACAGCGGCGTCGCGCCGTCCTGGAATACCACAAATATAAACATTATAAATACGAAACTTCACATGGATGCTTGTTACTTGATCACGCCAGAACGGCTGAACGGATATGGATGAAATTTGAAGTGGAAATAAGTGCTAGTAATTATATAATGAGTTTGAGGCAAGCTGTTGGTGAGTGGAGACATCAGACACAAATCTCTCGACATCATTATGCCGCTTTATAGAGACCCATTTAGTGAGAGATGATCACCACCGCCAATGAGAAGGCAGATGTCGAATAGTTTCATACCACAGCCCAGTTGATTTAATATATATACCACTAATATACTATATACTAATAATAACTACTTAAATATATAATAATCATCAATTTCAACAAAAAAATCGCTGTCCTGTCTGTCGGCACATTATGGTGTTTTTATTATTTCCTATTTTTTTGCTTAAAAAACAGTGAATGTAATATTTTTTAGTTGCTATTTTTTGTATGTTTTGATTGTTTAGTTGTTAATATGTATAAATCGATATGAAGGTCTTGGGTTTAGATCCTGAGTTATCAAGAAGTGTCGGTAAATCGGTGGTGTGACACCTTCGTATTGAGCCAGAGTACTGTCTGATTTGAGTGCACATATATTTTTAGCTTATGTCACCCAAAAATGTGTGTGTGTGCGTGTGTCACCTGTCTGACGGCGTCGACGTGTGCGCCGGCGGCGAGCAGCGCGCGCGCGACGGCGGCGTGGCCGCACTGCGCCGCGATCCACAGCGGCGTGGCGCGGTCGGCGCGCGGCGCGTCGGGCGCGGCGCCGGCGCGCAGCAGCGCCGCGCACGCCGCCGCGTGCCCGTTCTGCGCCGCGATGAACAGCGGCGTCGCGCCGTCCTGTACACCGTGCCCGACACCCACGTGCGATTATACGGTACGAGGGAGGTCAACACTCAACCCATAGTCCACCACAGTATACCATTTTTGACGTATAATAAAGAAAATAAACAAACACGACGAAAATTTAAAAATAAAATGTCAAAGTAATTTTGTAAAAAATAATGACAACAATCTTACATACTGATATTCTGTAAAAACAATTACTTTGACAGAAATACAAATTTTCGAAATTATGCCGAAAAACGCAAGTTCCAATCGATCGATCTACTTCAGTTATAAATACATATTAAAAAAATAAATTTAAAATACAACTAACAATTTTATAATTGATAGTTTTGCTAAAGGTTGCATGTATAATATTACTTTTTACTACATAATTATTTAATGTATAATTATAACGGGTACCATTCACTAGTTGTATATTCAAAATTTTTATATTTCACACTACGGTAGCAAAATTTTACTATGCATTTAGATATCTGTGGGAACTTGCTTGGTAGTTATTTATTGTACCCTTGAAAAACTAATAAATAAACAATAAACAACCTCATATATGTTAAAATTAAATGAATAAAACTGTTTTCTACCTTACCTTCATACAAGAGTTAACGTTGGCGCCGCGGTGTATGAGCTCCTCCACGACGGGCAGGTGGCCGCACTGGCACGCCACGAACAGCGGCGTGCCGCCGTCCTGTCCGCGACACGCGACACTCATTGTTAATACGGATAAAGACAATAAATAGTGCTTCGAGGGCTTCATTGTTGTTAAAAATCAGAGCTTATTGTTGGAAATTATAAAGAAACTAACAACTCAGGTATAGTAAGTACGTTTTAACGTTGTATGAAATAAATAGACTATATATTATATAATATAATTATATGCATAGGTACAAAATAAACAGTTCTGAACTGTTCGATTATCCAGCTGTTTTTTTTTAATTTTCCCTATTTTCTTATACTTAAAACTTACAAAACAAAAGAATTATTCAAATCGGTCCAGCCGCTTTGAAGTTTTAGCGAGACTAACGAACGGCAATTGATTTTTATATATGTATATAGATAAAAACGAGCTGTAGACACCTCGAGTTGTTTCAAGTTCAACCCTCACTACACGTAGATACCAAAAATCATAAAACTTTTGATCATCATCCCACAAAACTTTAATTCTTTTCTCAAGTAGTTCGTAGTCTGCCTTGCAACCAATCTTTTCTCTATGTTAATAATATTAATGAATTAATGAATTTTAATTAATAAAAAAACCGACTGCATAAAAGCTAACTAAAAAGATAAAAACAAGTTCATGATGGAAGATAGTATTATGCAGTTGGAGACACACGTTTCATCCTTGCCCCAAGATGTACATACTCGTATGTGCTTTTTAAGTATTTTTAAGTAGGAAAATTAGCGATAATGGTTGTTAACCAACTTTAAATCATTATATATCCTAAACTAATTTAAAATGAAAAATAATGAAAGCAACCTAAAATGATTTTTAAATACCTATTCAACGATATCCCACTTCACATAGTTCGTCGATTTTCATTTTTCTTTTTCTTTTTCACATTATGGAATGTAGCAGCCTCCATATTTTTTTATGTCACCTATCGAATGACACTTGGACTAATGAGACGAATCTTAGAATACTTTAATTAAAGAAATCCATCGAGTGGTTTGGAAGATATGAGGGAATAAAGAATATTACAAATAAACATACAAAGATAGGAGCGAGAAACATAATCCTTTCCTTGCAGTCGGGTAAAAATACGCCATTCCTTTTTGTAATGTTATTTGAGGCGTAATTTTGACCAACTTCTGAAATACTCCCGTAATGTGAGACGTGGGATATGGTTCCGAAATGTCTACATAATGTTGATGGTGTACGGCTTAGGCAATCGATAATGAAAATACTTAAAGCCTATAAGTTTTAACGTGGAGATAGTAAAATCTATACATATAATAAAATTGTAACTAAGTTGAATTTGTACATTAAATGTTTTTTGGAAAATCTTATTGAAATAGACATTATTATCGATACACAGGCTAAATCTATAGTTTTTAGAATTTTTGTCTGTCTGTCTGTTACCGCATCTAAGAAAAACCACTGGAGGGATTTTGATGAAATTGGGTATGATAATAGCTGTTTATCCGGGTCAACATATAGGATACATTTTACCGCAGGAAAATATTTCATTTTTGAGAAAAAATACAAAAACTGCAATGTAAGAGTATACTAATATGTAAAACCTAAGAATTTGCTTTTTGGGCATCTGAACGCGGGCGGAGCCGCGGGCAATGCTAGTAAATATAATAAATAAACACTATTTGACTCACCACGCTGGGCGCGTCGATGGCGGCGCCGACGTCGAGCAAGAGTCGTGCGATGTCTAAGAAGCCGCCTTGTGCTGCGAAGAATAACGCACTCGTCCCCGTCTGGAATAATATTACCAGATGGTATTACCGTGGGATCTCAGAAGTAATCAAGAATTAGTACAAAGTAATGTCAATGGATGGCGTCTGTTATTGATGTTCAATAAAAGAAAAATATCTAGATCTCAAAATGGTTCTGGTTTTAAAAGATATTCGACGTAAACAACAATGAAATAATGCGTTCTTAAATAAATTAATTATTAAATAATCGGTTGTAGAGCATATTCACAGAGGGCGCTGTTTATATTTTATGAGTGATTTACAATATATGACAGATCAAATAATACAAAATACGAAGTTAATAACGTTTCATGACAAATTTTTATTTATTAAATACTAGCTGACCCGACAGACCTCGTTCTGTCAAATCAAGCGTGTAGCAGGCCCGATTAGAAAAAGTTTTTTTTTGTTTTTTCCGGGCATTTTTTCAATTTTTTTTTTCATAAGAACCTTCCTAGGGCTTCAACGAATATTTAAAATAAAAAAAAATATTACCCGAATTGGTCCAGCTGTTCTCGAGTTATGCGCTTAGCAACCCATTTTGCCTTTCATTTTTATTCATAAGACAATATAAGTATTTCATATATTTTAGTAGGTATATTAAACAAAATTATATTTTTACATAATTTAGTACATAAAATAAACAATATTTATAAAATAAAATAATTAATAAAAAATTAAACTTGTTTGTGTGTTAACATTTTTTAAGGAAAATGATTATGTCTGTCCAATTTATTCATATGAGATGGGCAGATGTATAGGTAAGCACTACATTTACTAAGTAGGAAAATTTAATTTGAAATAATTTGCACAGCGATTCATAGCTGACCTGGTTCTCAAATTAAATAAGTCAGCAGCTTACGAGCTAACGACATAATTTTACCGTGAGCTTTTTAAAAGAAGCTTAATACCGTATTTTGTACGAAACGATGTACGAAAGAAACTCATTCATATTTCTTTGAAAAGAAAAATGAAGTGATTTCGAGATAAAAGCGCTGAGTGGGTCGCCACATGTAGCGAGGCTTTCATAATAACAATGGAATACACTACGTTATGGACCAAAGCTTGTGTCATTTTTGTTTCGATGTGATTGCAAAAAAATCTGCTTTTTTTATTATATTTAATTGAAACCACTAGTTTAAACGGTTTTTAATGATACGAGACGATAGTTAATATAAAGAAATATATTATTATAAAAGAAAATAAGTATGCAAATATATTTTAAAGGAAAATATGCTAGTGAAAAGCAAATGCGAACTCATTAAAACTCAACGTTTACTTTCGTAAAATAAGTCTGTTTATACAGTTGTTTGTAATATTTGGAACAAAATTATTTTGTACATAGCTAGCTTCTGTACGTGTTAAAAAACATTTCTTAACTGCCTCAGTGGTTCAGTCTATTGCAATTCAAGAGATATCGGGTTCGAAGGTCGGTTCGGCCCAAAATACTAGATTTTTTGACATGTAATATTCAATAAGAGTCTCAAAACTTGGCAGTTACATTATGTCGTAAGTTGTCTGTCTGTTAACTTACCGTCCGACAGCAGGCGGGGTCTGCCCCCTGAGAGAGCAATTCTCTGACGCACTCCGTGTGTCCCATCGCGGCTGACAAGATCAGCGGCGTGGTGCCATCCTGGAATCAATAGTTTAGAATGTTATGTAATAACTTCAAAAATATACACAGGTGCAATATTATTACTTTTAACTAAAAATGTTTACGAAATTCAAAAAAGAGATAATTAATAATTAATTAAATAAAAAAATTAAAGATTTTTGTTTTTTATTGACATAAGACATAAAAATACCTACAAGTAAATTGAGTACCTCCTTTTTTTTAAGTCGGTCAAAAACTGTCATCAATGCTCAGTTTTAAGGCTCATCTATACACAGGTTTAATCGCGCAGAAGTCGATGAAGATTTTCGATATGTCTCATAAAAGACTAAATGTTTATCAATGACAAAGCAAGGAGTTAATTCTAAATTAAAAAGGCGCACACTACAGTCTACACAGTAGGTAATGAGAAAAATCCTTTAAACTCGAGCTATAGCGTACTATAGAATGATAACTACGGTATGTACAATTTACGCGAAAAAGGTATTCGGAAGGAATTATTATTTAATTTGATAAGTCTTTAAGTTAGGAATGCTTGCTGCAGGCACAGTTGGCTACCCCCCCAACGTGCGTTCACCTTGTCGTGGTGGGGGGGCTCAGTCTCTTGGCTTTGTGCCCGGCAATACAGCCGGGCGCAAAGCCAAGAAACGCACAGGGAGGTGGCCCACTTCGGTGAGCGGTGGGAGGTGGCCCTCTTCGGAGGGCGGCGTACCATGCGGGTTGCTCCTGGTACTTCTCTGATAGCAGAGTGGACCTTGGAGCAACCCCGTGGCAGTTGTGGTCTGCTTCGGCAGACCTGCCGTCGGGGCGTCGTAGTTGAATGCGTAAGCGATCCTGCGACGCCCCATTAAGACGGGCTTTGTTGGGTTTTAGTGGGTAGTACTGGCTTTGCCGGTGAGTCCCACGCGTCGTGCGTAAATGCATTTCCCAACGTTAAAAAAAAAAGGCACAGTTGGCTAAGGCAAATGCTACGCGATCTAAATAAATATAATTAATTCCGCTTCAAACTCATGCATAGTAATTTTAAATTTGTATATCTTTCCTTATAATTAATTTTGAAAAAGAAAGAAACAGTTTGTAATATAAACAACAATTAATATGAAACTGCGTTAGGCCTCGCTCCAGTGACCGCGAACACAACTGTTAATATGTACGTTTGCATTGTAAGGAGCACTCGTATCAACATTACCTACACTGTTTATTGCTACTTAAAACTTTAAAATCGGTTCATTATAACGTAAAAATTTCAAAATATGACGATTTTCTTCAATTTTCTTAATTTTTTTCGACTTACGGTAAATCTTGATGAGATATGTACAATGATGATGAGTTCTCCTGAGGCAGGAGCGGGCCGTGAATTTGAGAGGCCCTGAGCTAATGCTTCGTAATTAATTAGAATAAAGCTAATTATCATTTTGTCTTTAAAAAATCTAGACGAAATTAAGATAGCGCTATTATTTTTTTCTGGTTAATTAATCTCAGGGTTATTAAGTCGACCTTTTATGGTCTTCGTTTTTTTTTATTTTCAATAAATTTTTATTTTAACATACACAAAATCAAAGTGCTTAAGACTCGAACTACTATAGCACAGCTGTACAATACTTTGCCAAATAATTGAAAGGAGTCAAAAACATTTAATATGTTAAAAAAAACTTAAGACATTACATAATGTCGGTCAGAATCACGATTTTGTTTAGGATCACAATAGTTTAAGTTAGTTTAAATTGTAGACTATAATATTGTAGGTAGGTAACTTTTTAAATTTCGTAATGTAAGTTTACATTGCTTTTTTTGGAAATAAACAGCTTAAATCAAATCAAATAAAAAAAAAGAAGATTGATGATTCATAATAATCATATTATGACGATAAGTATGTAAATGTGCTAAAATTATGATATTTTCCTAGGAACAAAAAGAAGTTCCTGGGAAAAAATGTATACGTAATAGTTACTATTGGAAAAAGCTACTAGCAACTATCTTTCCGATGAAATCGGTTAATAAAAAATATATACAAAAACTGCATACACAAGCACAAGTAATGTTTACAATTTGCATTGCTAATGCACTTCAACCATATGAGAAAAGGCACGTTTCTTTCTCATACGGTCTAACCGCTAATAGTACCTTAAAGGAAAAAATGCCTGAGAAAAAATATTTTTTTAAACCTTTAAGAACAATATAAATATTTTATGTTTTTCTCAGCTAGAGTTTGTTGCAGAAACTGACGAGAATCTATTTAAAAAAAATATATATACTTTTTCAGTAAGTACAAAACATAGATATGTACTTAGTGTTGGTATTTCAATTAAAAGAAATAAACCTTAAAAGACAGAGGATAAGGCTAGTATTTGAATACAAAAGCTCAACGAAGAACATTACAGATACATTTATGAATCACTCGGCATGAAACAAAACTACATCTACTGCGATCCAAAATTCGTTGCGCTTGTGATTTCAAGGCCGACAGAGTTAAAAGTGCAATGATAAATATAAAATCTCAGTTAAATGATAGGTTTAGAATGTTATAAAGTAATTTTTAAACGTGTCTGCCTTAGAACGGTTGAGATTGGAGAACAGATTGGAAAGCAACTTCCGAACAAAAAAAAATATTTTATATGATTGAGGTAAAAATAGTAATAATATAAGGTAAGTACAAAATTACTGTACTCTAATAATGTAAAGTGTATTTTTAAAAGCGCAATTGTTGACTTTCGATGGCTTTTCTCAACATAACTGCATTTGTAAGTAGGTAGAAGCTTCCTCACGAATAAGCTACAGTTAAATTCCGTTTAAATATATAATTTGTCTATTTCAAAGTGCTCGATTTAGATTACCTACATCTCATACATAAATAAAAGTTACGACCAATACTTGTTGTAATTTACAGTAGTGAGTTTTTCCTCTATTTTAAAAACAAAACTTTATTTTTTTAAATTTATATACGTGTATAAATAATAAAAAGATAGTGAACTGTGTCGCGGGACATCCGGTAGGGACAAAGTTCCTTCCGCTTTCTGCCCTTAAGTCGCCATTTTATACGCATTTATATAAAACAAAAAATATTTTAGTGGTTACGTATTAAAAAGACATTAGCAGCCACTGAAAGGACATAACAATATAAATAATACAAAACCTTACTTTCCTTATGTAAGATATTGCGTAGACGCGGTCGATAAATCATCGCCGCCATAATAATTACGTACGACTAGAACCGGCATAGAGTATAAGCTACAACGAGCAAGTGGTACAATATGATAAAATGCATGGCTACTTCATCTTTTTTTTTATATTATAGTAAAAAAAAAAAAAAAATTATATACGTTATTTTTTTATATGTAGGCTCATTTGTTTATGGCAGGCATCGAGCAGGCTATCGTGATATCGAGTATAATTTTTGTGCTAAAAACTTTGAGATTAGCTTTTAAGCTCCAATTACAATACTTTAAGTTTGTGAAAATTAAGCAAAAATGGAAAAATACGGATCGGTCGCCTTTGTCTCGGTCGAAATGTGTCTCGGGTCTCGGCAAGCAAAAAGAAAATGATTTTATTGTAAGTGGAACGTACGAAAAATGAACCGAAGAATGTCGCTCGTAAATGTGTTACACGTGACGTCTAAAAATGTTTATAGAGTAGTCTGATAATAAAACAAAGAACGACTTGCGTTTTTTATGAATAAAACTAATATTTTATTAATACGAGTACTTTCTTAGATTTACTCGAATATTTGACAATTTAAATATAACTATCTTTTCGGATATTTTCGCGAATTTATTTTGATTTTTGGTTCCTAAAATGAATGCTTTACAGCAATCATGGTCACGGGTCAGATTGAGGTGTCAGATGTATCAAAGGCATTTTAAATGTAGTTGTTACAGACAGCCTACCCACAAAATAACAAGATAAATTCAAAAAATTGAAAAATGTCACCAAAGTACCTTACAAAATTTGTTAATTGTAAAACATTTTTATAAATTTAAATTATTTTTATAATTGAATATGGAATATTATTTATTTCATTTTAACTGTTATTATTAACATTTTTTATAGAAAACTTTATTAATTAGTAATCTATATTTAGTGTTGCAATTATTATATTTATACACAAAGAAAAATAAAGTATTAATTATTCAGTCGACATTATTGTTCTATGTGTAATTTAAAAAATTAAAATTAAGTAAGAATAATACGTTTTCACGGTTAGTATGGAATAGTTAGGAATATATTTATATATATACATATATATATATATATATATATATATATATATATATATGTATATATACATATATAGCCTATAACCTTCGTCAATAAACGGGTTATCTAATGCAAAAAGATTTTTTATATCAGATTAGTAGTTCCTGAGATTAACGCGTTCAAACAAACAAACAAATTCTGCCTCTTTATAATATACTAATATTATATAGATGAATTGTGACTGTTTGAGTATGATTTTAAATAAAAACAAAAAAAACTAGAAAACGAAATTTATACGAATCTAAAAACATCTAATACAAGACCTCGAGCCATAAACATCAACTATATATTATAATATAGATATACTTATACTTTCAACAGAAATCTTAAGCCTCTTTGGTTTCTTTATAGGATTAAACTTCTAAAGAAACAAACATAAAATAACACGGGAAGAAGTATTCTGTTATGTTTTTATTAGCACTATACTCTAAAAGTAATATAAAGGAAGTGGATGTTGCACAAAAGTTATTGCTCATCATCTAATGCTCCTCCACAAACACATCGTTAACCTAGAAACTGGATCTCAACACGTATAGAGCGTGATGTTATACTGAAACAGAAGTGTTAATTATACTTGTTCAAGTTTAAATTTAAACTTGGGTAAGTGTGCTTTTGGTTTCAAAATAAAGACATATTTAACCTAGTTATTATTTATGTAGCCGGCAACGCATCTGCAAGCCCTGCGGTGTTGCAGATGTCCATGGGCGGCGGTGATCACTTTCCATCAGGTGAGCCTCCTGCCCGTTTGCCCCTTAGTCCCATAAAAAAAAACAATGTACATATACTAGAGCGTTTGTGTGTTTGAGCGCGTTAATCTCTGGAACTACTGGTCTGAATTGAAAATTTATTTTTCGTATTATATCACCTACTTTTTGAAGTTTTTAGGTTACTTTGTAACACTCAAGGACTAAGGAACCGAGCAAATAAAAAAAAAATATGTGTGTGGAAACGCGAGTTTCACTTATAGATCGCAGGGAAAATAAAGAAAATCCTAACGCTATTATTATTATTTTCCTTTATTTCCCATAAAGTATCGACTTTTCATTTAGAGTATTCTACAAACTAAAAATAAATGTAAATGAAGGCCATATTACTAATACATATATCTAAAATCATACAAGAACATCTAATTGCAATAAAATGTCACCTTTAATTATAAAGTAGAGCTCATTAAGATGAACTTACGCAAATATTTTTAACAAATAATTTCTAAATAAAAATAAACGAGTATATCGAGAGTGGTTTGATCTGGTCTCGATAGCAAACATTTATTATTCCACGCATGTTTTACATTTCAAACGGACTTGGGCCCGTTACTTGTAGGTAATTTACAGCATGACAGCAAAAACGAGAAACTTGCTTTATATTTGGCAAAATTGCTTGTATTCATGTACGTCCCTATACGTGATGGTATACTCGAAATAAAAAAAAATGTTATTGAAACACGAGATTAAAGTTTTAATAAATAACTTTGTATACTATGTAGTACCTACTTTAGAAATACTGTATTAAGCCAGGCCTCAACCAATAGACGTACAAAACGGTGATTTCTCATAATACTTTCTTAGATTTACGCGAATATTTGACATGTAGCCTACCCACAATTAACAAAACTAACAAAATGTCTGTAACAACTATACCTCCAAGACATGTAACACCTCAGTCTCTCCCGTGACCATGGATGCTGTAAAGCATTCGAAACGTCGGGAAACAAAAATGCAAATAAATCCGCGACAAAATCCGAAATGATAGTTTTATTTAAAACGGTGATTTCTCATTGATTTTTCTTTAAATGCTCAGTCATATGTTATCCTACAATATATATAATATTATATTGTAACAGTGCACCCTAATAATCTATCTATCTGTGTTTACTACCTTAGTACAGATAGTAATTTAACATTAGCATCATATAAATTATGTCAAATTCCTATCGCAAGTAAGAAATATTAAAGATATATTCAATACATAGGTTATTGGCATCCGCCCTTACACACGCATAACAACGAGGATTATTACTTCTGCGTTACCCCTTGAGATGAAGAGGAGAGAGAAGAAGGGGGAAACAAGGGTAAGAAATAGGTGACTGGAGTCTGCAACTCTCTTGAAATAAGACGGTAAAGTACGTGTAGTGCTCCTTTACGTCGATATTCTGCGAGAGGGTAACTGACTCTACAAATTTTTGATTATTGCAGTAAAATTTAGTTTGTATTAAGAGATAAAACTCAAAATTAAAAAATAATGCATTTGGTTTGAAACATAGACGTAAAAATAATATTTATGTACACAGTACAATATTGATGTCAAAATTCATAGTAATGCATTAGCTATATATACTGAAGGATTTCGAGGGATGGTATGGGAAGGATATAATATAATAGGTATAACTGGATCAAACGAAAATTTTACAAAATTAACATGAACGGGTTTCCTATAAAAGTAAATAGATATAACTCAATTATTTTAATTACTGTCGTGCTTGCGTTGCAACTTCCGTCTGTCGAATTTAAATTTTATAATTGAATTTTCGTATTCGCTGTGGAGCGTTTTACTCACGTAATTTAAATTTATGATGAAAATTTCATAGGATTCAAATAGTTTGCACTGCCTAGAATCTAGATTTTAGTCCATACAAATAATTTTAGTCCATATAATTTCATTTCATTTCACTCGAAATTATGATATTATTTCGTACTTATATAGTTGAATTTTGGTAAAAAGGTGTTTCGCGTAAACAATCCAATGTTTTAAGTCTCTCTCATCTTTTTTGTCTGGTGATTCTTTTACAAACTATGTATTCATAAACTCTAAACTAATATCGATAAAATTTTAAACTCAAAATATACAAGAGACTGTTCGTTAGAGAAATTATAAGTTAATGTAGACATCTAAGTAAAAAATCTAAATTTAACTCGTATTAATTCGCAGATACCACATTTATATACAACACTCTAGTTCACTCTAACAACGAGAAATCTAACGATACCTCATATGTTAACATTCTTCTTCATTACCCTCCTTTTAAGACAGTTGGGTAAACATCAATCATCATGTGGAAAAAATACATCGCTCATACATCGTTTACTGTTCGTTGGCAATTCATAACGAATCGATTGTGTCGACCCCGTCGCTCTCCAGACCAGTCGTCTCGTGTGGACAATTTCAGCTTTCCTCTCGTACCTACCCAAGTTTCATTTTGTAGACGAATTTTAAACAACCAGCGATATTTGCCATTTAAATATTCAAATCTTAATCTGTGGAATCATTTTTTCAGACTGATATGCGAGTTTATATTGAATTTAAAATCTATTTATTGAGAGCGACATTTACTTCTTCGCTAAACTTTCAGGTACATTTCTATATGTTAATCACGAAGAACGTAATGATTTTCTTTTCGAGTTCCACTTTTTTTTCCCACATTAAAGTTCTAAACCGTGAATAGTAACTAAAAAGTGTATAGGTACGAAGGAACTTGCGTGAATTCATCCTTAGATTTATAACTGTATTTTTTTTTTATTTTCGAGACTTTTTTAAAATAAAATTAGAAGTTTTAAATAAAACTATCTATTCGGATTTTTTTGCAGATTTATTCGATTTTTGCTTCCCAACGTTTCAAATGCTATCAAAAATAAAAATAAATCCGCGAAAAACCGAAAAGATAGTTTTATTTAAAATGTCCAATATTCGAGTAGATCTAAGAAAGTATTAAAATTAGAATTATAATTCTTACCCGGTCTCTAGAATCAATGTGAACTTTTCCAGTGTCTAAAAGCTGCTTCAGCCTTTCGCAGTCTCCTCTCAACGCTGCGAGGTGAAACTGCACATCTGTACGAGATTCTTTCTGTGAACAAATGACGATTTGTTAGTTAATTTAATGCTTATTGTTATTATAAATGCGTAAATGTGTTTGTCACTTTATCCATCGGTTGTGTGACAACGGATCGATGTGAGTTTTTGAATAGAGATAGTTTATGGACCGGATAGTGTCTATTTAGGCTTTTTAATCCCTAAATGGAGATATTAGCCAAGTGCACAACTAACGATCGGAAGCTCAACGTAGAGGAATCACGGAAATTATTAGTTGATATATCATTAAGCATTTATCCATCCAAATGAGTGTCAGTTCAGCTTTAGTAAGTCTTTGGACTGTAGGCGTGGGTTAGTCTAATTTCAAAGTCACAGGCAATCATCAATCAAATATGATATCTTGACAGAATTATACATTTCCTACTGAACTATAATACTTAATTTATTACATCACTTACTGAGATTAAATAAGTTAAGTAAATATTTAAGCTATTGAATTAACAGCTTATCTAAGTGCAGGAACTGTTAATAACTGTTTTTAGATAGAGAGATAAAATTAATATCAACATGTTATGCAGTTAGGAAAGAAAACAAATAGGTAGGTATACGAAAAAAATAAAAGCGATATGAGATATCAGGCAGTGGTAGCCCAGTGGTAACGCTCTCGCTTGGGAAACCGATTGAACCGGGTTCAAATCCCGGGTCTCGCACCTCTGATATTTTCATGTGCGAATCATTTCTAATATGATTACCACTTGCCTTACGGTGAAGGAAAACATCGTGAGGAAACCTGCATGTCTGAGAGAACTTAGCAAGTTTTCGAAAGACATGTGAAGTCCGCGAACCCGCACTTGGCCAGCGTGGTGGACTATGGCCTGATCCCCCTCGTATTGAAGGGAGGCCCGTGCCCAGCAGTGGGACGTTAAAAAGGGCTGAATACATGCGATATCGCTTATTTGGTACTATATCTATATCCTATGTTCTATCTAGAGTCTACTATGAAAATAGAAAAAAATTACACAATCCATTAAGCAAGAAACACAAAAAAAAATATCTTAATATCTCAAACATAAAAATTATCTCAACTTCATTTATGTAACTTATAGCTTATTGATACTGGTATATTTATTGTCAAGTTCAATACCAGCCTCTCACAGAATTCGACAAAAAGCGTGTCAATTATTCGCAGCAATCATTTTTACGTTGCTGTGTTATCGCTACGAACGGTAAGAGTTACCGTATATTGTGGATTTATGTAAATCAAAAATATTAAAAGCTACAAAAACATTAAATCGAATTTCTATATACCTACTCTGTTCGTTAAAACTATTAAAAATGTCATTTTCTTATGCAGATATTTTTAAGTCATTGTTATGAGGTTATAATTATGGCATATGAGAACACCTGACAAGTGTAAGTGAATACATACAATAAGGATTCATTCGAATTTTAATTGTCATTATAAAATTAATAGTAAGTTAAATTACCAACTCTATACTTTTTTTTAAATATACACACTAACTCCACAATATTTATTTATACATAGTACCTACACTGGCACTAACTATGCTACTAAGTAACACTGCGGTGGAGAATCAAAATTCCGCAACAAGCGCTGACTATTACCGTAGCCGCAGTTTCGTGTTATCAATCGCTGTGAACTGTTAACTTAACTGTATATTGTGCAATGCACGCGAGATATCCATTTATTATAAATCCCGCAACTTTATATATAACTAGCAAGCAAATGGAAAAGATGGGTGCGGTGCTCGCGGGTTCCGGGCGGTTTGCTCACTAATGTGAGATGCAAAGGCTGTTTAAATCATCTAAATGTCAAAGTAATACGATATAGTATCTTTGTTAGGTTATTTAAAAGTCGTTTTGAGTAGTTGCTTACATTAAAATTGGTTAAAGGCTTATTATTTTAGACTGCAGGAAATCGAGTGAGATTTTTCGTAATTTATCGGATATATTAGTAAGGAAACTATAATACCTATTTGTATATTTAACTATAAGTAGGTACTTAGATCTGAACAAAATTTACAGTGAGTGCTTTTAATGCACATATTTATCTAATATTTTACGTTTAAATACCTTCTATATATATATAAAAATTAATTGCCGTTCGTTAGTCTCGCTCAAACTCCTAAACGGCTGGACCGATTTGAATAATACTTTTTTGTTTCGTTAGGAGTGTGTCAGTATAAATATAAAAAATATATAGGGAAAACCCAAAAAAACGGCTGGAAAATAGTAAAGTTCAGAACTGTTTATTTTGTTCCTATGTATATAATTATACATAATGTATAATCTATCTATTTCATTGTAGTGTGAAACCTTGTAGTGTGTTCATTTAGAACATTTTACAATTTAAAAAAAATATGTCAATAATTTAACCTATTTAGGTTCTTCTATTTAGAAGTCTAAAATGAAATCTATTACCCGTTTCAGTCTGGCTTTCTTCACTTCTGGTCTGGATCTTTTCATTTAGTCTGGCTTATAAGAAAAGCTTCATTTGAAATTATTTCATTTAATTTACAGAATGGGACTTATGTTCTGTACAAATTTACTTTACCATTTTTAACCGACTTCCAAAAACTAGGAGGTTCTCAATTCGTCGGAATCTTTTTTAAAACACTATCATCAAATCTTGCAAATGCAATAAATTAACTGCGAACAAAGTAACAGGACGATCTAAGTCTATCTGTATAGAGGTACATATTACGTTGAAGATATTTTGTTCATTTAGTGTGGTTATGCTCGTTTACGAAACACGAATGTTACCCAGAAATCATAGTCCTGAATTGACGGCATCGCGTGACAGCGGAGATAGAATAGTTGTCGAGGAATCATCTAACATCTACTTGCCATAGCTGCACGTCACTGTGCGGCTTAATGTTTCTTCTACTGCTAATATAGCTTTATTATTCGTCTTTCCTTGTAAAATTAATAAATTTAAAGCGCTACGTAGATATAACATATCGTAGATTTTAATTACATAAAATTTTTTATCTAGATAATTTAATCTATAAAAAAGTTACACGAAATAAGAGTAAAAGATAAAGTGTGCGTCACTTCAGTTGAGACGTCAGCGACGGCTTTCCTAATTCCTCAAAGATTTTCACAATCAAAGATACAATAATAAAAACAGAAGGCAAAACAAACACAACACAAATAAATTAAAGTGTTTGTAATGTTAAAATAACAACTATACGATACTGATACATTTTATTTCTCTTGTCTGTTTGTTCCGATTAATTTCCGAAACGGCTGAACCGATTTCGACGGGACCTTCACTGCCAAATAGCTGAAGTTTTAAGGAGTAACCTTAGATTCTGTGCAAAATAATCAAAATCGAAGTTTTTAACTAAAATACGCCTACCTACCTAGGGGCGCACCCGAGCAAAGCGCGAGTAAATCGCTAGTTAATCATAAGTGACAGAGTACTTAGTTCCTAATTAATAATACTTTCCACAAGAACAAAGCAGTAGGTACAAAAAGATGTAAATTTCATATGTATAAATGATGTTGAAGCGATGGAGCGTACACGGGCATTGAGCAGGAAAGACAATCCGATCATTCCGCACACCAAACCGTGCGGCTCCGTGATGCATATTGAATTTCTCATATCTGAACCATATCCGTGTTTATGTGGAGTGACAATATTTAATACGTTTGATTTCTACCGCGTTGGACCCAACCCTGTGTCGGTTGTAGCCAGTTCGATTTCGATAAGGAAATATCCACATTTTAGTATCATCTATACATATAATAAAATTGTAACTGAGCCGAACCTCTACATTAAATATTTTTTGGAACTTCTTATTGAAATAGATATTACGAGTATTACCGATACAGAGGCCGAATCTATAGTTTTTAGAATTTTGAATGTCTGTCTCTTACCGCATCACAGAAAAACTACTGGAGGAATTTTGATGAAACTTGGTACGGTGATAGCTGGTTATCCGGGTCAACATATAGGATACTTTTTACCGCGGGAAAATGTCTCATTTCTGAGAAAAAATACAAAAACTGCAATGTAAGAGTAGTTTTGGTCATCTGAACGCGGGCGGAGCCGCGGGCAATGCTAGTTCTATATATGTGTACTCATAAGTAAATAAGCAAAACAGTTCAATATCTTTTTCTCTTCCGTTTGTCAATCGTTTTTTTTCACTTTAATAGCTATTGATTAAGCTTTGAGTTTTATCAATAAAAACACAGTTGATAATTGGTAACAGGTTAGTTTTTTATAGAGATAAGTAAATTTTTTTCTTATATGTTTTCTTCAAATTATAATAATATTGTGGTCGAATTTCGACCACTGGCCGAACATTAGTATTAAATGTGCATGCAAACAAAAAAATATTTTTTTTTGTAATAGGGCAATATTGATATAATAAATACAAGAAATAATCTTGGTGTTAAATTAGTTTCAAATCTTTCATTTATGGCAAAAAACTAAGATGATTTTGCGGCTATTATATTGAAAGATAACGAACACAACACGTGTCGAGGAGATTGATCTACTTATTCGCTGTTAACTGGAATTACTACATTTCTCCTACCATGTAATATCATATTACGCCGCGTATATTTTTGCTATCTGTGTTAAATTACGCTAATTTAGGTACTTTAAAGTGGACTGTTGGAATTTTTATGTTGTTTGAGATAAGTTATATTTTAATATGTTATATAAAACAGGATATTTTTGATTTAATTTGTTTTTGTCTATACTGTTTTGGCACTTTATACAAGACACTATAAGAAACGATTCGCGGTTTGTCCTTCTTAACTACTTCATGTAAAGTATTCACGTATACATTAATAATAACAAAACTACCGCCTCGTTTATTAATTATATAAGCATTATAAAATCTATACATATAATAAAATTGTAACTTAGTCGAATCTGTACATTAAAGATTTTTTGGAAAATCTAATTGAAATAGACAATATTATCGATACAGAGTCCGAATCTATAGTTTTTAGAATTTTTGTCTCTCGGTCTGTCCGTTACCGCATCACGAGAAAACCACTGGACAGATTTTGATGATAGCTGGTTATCCGGGTCAACATATAGGCTACTTTTTACCACGATAAAATGTCTCATATCTGAGAAAAAATACAAAAACAGCAATGTAAGAGTATATACTAATATGTAAAACCTAAGAATTCGGTTTTTGGTCATCCTGAACGCGGGCGGAGCCCCGGCAATGCTAGTTAATTATAAGTACAAAGACATCATAAGTCGCCGAAGGAATTTTATATTTTTATACAAATTGATAGCAAGATCATATAAATATCATATAGACAATATAAATAAGTAGACAAAAAAGATCTTTATAGTTTGAACTAAATAAATCTGTTTGATACTTTTCAAGTTTATAAACAAATTCGTTGTATAACTCACTAACAAGAGAGAATTTCTAATCTTGCTATCTTTGGGATCTCGTTTATTTAATCCCGAGTATTTTTATAAGAAGTCCATAGCTTAGACAAAATATCTGTATAAAAAACATTTTACAAGTTCAAAGCTTTCGAAAATAAACTTAAGTAAATAAAGGCTTTAAATCAATCGAGCTACGTTTACATTGTAAATCTTAAACTACTAAAACAAGACCACGTTTTTAATTTCTTTAATAGATATTAGATATTGAGTGGGATTGCCAAGCAAGAAACGTGTTATAAAGGTTATTTTTGTTTTTATAGTCTATGTCGCGTTAAGTTTTTGACTACTATTCAAAATCAATCCTAATTTATTGGCAGATACATAACACAAATAATAAAATAATTATATAAATATGTTGGGACATTAGCACACAGCACAATCTAGTTCCATGGTAAGCTACATTGAAGTTTTTGTTTTTTTTTTCTCAGAAACGAGATATTTTCTCGCGGTAAAAAGTATCCTATATGTTGACCCGGATAACCAGCTATCATCATACCAAATTTTATCAAAATCCCTCCAGTGGTTTTTCTGTGATGCGGTAACAGACAGACAGAAAGACAAAAATTATAGAAACTATAGATTTGGCCTCTGTATCGATAATAATGTTTATTTCAATAAGATTTTCCAAAAAATATTTAATGTACAGATTTGGCTTAGTTACAATTTTATTATATGTATATATTACTTATTAGTACACGTGCTCAATATCAGAGGGCACTGTGTGTTCTGAATACGAGTATGTTTATTGCTATACAAAATTGCTAAGCAGACCATTTATTAGACTAGGTCGCAATTAGGCTTCAGATTAAAGTGTCGTGGTCGAACGTGGTGATTATGGCAAGTAAGTAGGTACTCGAGGTGTCTAAATATCAAAGATATATTTTACGAGTAGGTACTTTTGAATGTAAGTTAACTACTGAATTGGAAGGTCGACAGTTTGATTTTCGCAACAAACGGACGCTCACATTATATACTAATAAACATAGATGATTTGAGTTAGGAAATACAATATATAATACATATATTGTATATTTGCCTACATTTTCTCCACCGAGCTGCTCTTTTTTTAATTTGACACCCGAAAATTTCCCATATAAAATTTTACTATCCGTTTTCACCCCTGTATAATTTGAAATAAAAAAATCCTATCTTATCCGGCCGCCTATGTCGGATGTTATGGAAATTGCGAAAGTAAGCCCCCGAGTGGATAAATTGTAAAAATGGTTTTTATGGTATACTTGCATTAATAGCATGAAAAAACTTGTAATTTTTCATTTCTACGTGAATATAGGTAGTTATTACCATTAATTTAATAAAGCACTAAGTCGGATATCTACAAAATAAAAAAGAATGCAATCTTTTTAAATATATTTTGGTCACTGGACCATTAAGCCGGGCGGAGGCCGTCTCTTTAAAATTCTTATAGATAAACAAGCATTGCCCGCGGCTCCCCCCGCGTTCAGATGACCAAAAACCATATTCATAGGTTTTACATATTCGTATACTCTTACATTGCAGTTTTTTGATTTTTTCTCAGAAATGAGACATTTTATCGTGGTAAAAAGTATCCTATATGTTGACCCGGATAACCAGCTATCATCATACCAGTTTGATTCCTTGGAGGCGTTGACCAAACGTTTTCATTAGAATTGTCAATTATGCGAAACACGTTGGGAAATATTACGGGTGACCCAAAAGATACCTATAGTAGTAACCTTGTTAGCAAATAATAAAGGCATTCAATGCAATAAAAGTGGACGGAATTTTGATGTTAGTCTAACATACCTATATGCAAATAATCTTATGTTAGTTTTAGTTAAATTGTAAATATTAGCTAATCATTCATACTCATAATAATTTATTAGAGCGTAACGTCATTATTTCATGAAAATTTTGTTTTAGAATTTGTCAAGAACTACAAACAACTTACGAAAAGCCAATTGTTGGAAAAACAATTAATTTATGAACTAATGAATTTAATTACGAAATTTTAGTAAGAAGCCGGAAATTTTACGAACGTGGCAATTTAGTTTAAAAC